TTTTTGAAAAAAATTGATTTATTAATGATTTCAAGTATAACTAGTTTTAACGCATATTCTGTGGAAAATTAGCCCCCAAATTCCAATTTTTAAGCATCCAAAATTCAGTTGAACCTTTCTCTCCGCCTTAAGAATCCATGTGTGATTCTGGAACTTCAAACACGTGTTCCTCGAAATAGCAAAAACTGCACCTATGCGCCTAGTCCTCCAAGCTCCTCAATTAGGGTTAAGAAATAAAAATATCTTACAACCGATCGATCTACTCGTGTGAGAATTCGATTGATTTGTTATTTTGACCAATCAGCCAGCTGATGACTACGATATGTATGACGTCACGAATAACAGCACGCGAGAATGATTCCCCCGGAAATCAAGAGGAGTTTGGTTTTTGTAAACAATCTCTACACACCCACGGTTTACGCACGAATTCACGAACAGCTGGGGAAATTATAGACACAAACATGATATCTTCAGTCTTTCACTCAATCCATTATTGACCTAATGACTCAGATCAGAAAATTTACGTGTTGATAATTGAAATTTCTATGCTCTTATTTCGTGCGTTTGATTTTCTGTCTTAGAGAGAGATGGAAGGATAGATATTGGTGTTTTAGCAATGGTAACGGATCGCATTCAAAGAAGAAATTTTCTTGTCTGCATGATAGTGCGAGAATTTCGTACCCTGAATGATGGCATAGTTTCTGTGTGGTGGTACAAAACCACTAAAAACGTCCGAAAATCGTTAAGAATTCCTTGCCAGTCCTGAAGACTGAGGGTTGGTGGTAGAAGTTGACGCAGTAACTGATATGGAATATGAAATCGGCAGAGTCGAGGAATGAATGGTCGAGTATCGATATTTCCCTATTTGAAGCTATGTTAAAGAATTGATTAAAAAGGTATTCGTTGCGAACAACCTGTGTATCGATCGTTTTCCATAGGTTTAAATGGAGACAAATCGATTTTTTGCGAAGCATGGAAATCTGTTGCTGCTCTTTGTCGAAGGGAATCCGCCTTTTTGAGCAGTGGCGTGGCGTGCTGTGCGATCTATCGATATTTCCCCATTAGAAGCTGCGGTAAATAATCGATTATTGAGGTGTTCGCTGCGAAAGCCCTGTTTATCGATACTTTTCCATGGATATAAATGGCCGATCAATCGATATATCGCATAGCACGCCACGCCACTGTTTTTGAGACTGACAATGAGCGACTTTACAGATCAATTCACTATCAGATGACTTTGGTTACATACAGCAGAAGAATGAATGGAATATTTTGCCGTCACTGCGGTGGCCGAGCTGAAGGTGAGTTAAACTGTAAACATCGAATGAAATCTGCGTAGATTGTGTTTCGTTGTTTGGGGAAAAATTACAACGCCAAATTTTGATCTCTGTTTTTTCCACTTAAAATGGTTCTGCTGAATTGACATTGACCGTTAAGGACTATATGGACCGCATTCAGCAGAAAGGAACCAAGCTACGTATAAGTTATTGACAATAATTGGACAGTTCAATTTTTATGTGAAAACGGTTTTGCGGATTTTAATGCAAATTTCAGTGAATTTTCTGCACGGTAGGCAGCAAATTCCTAAAAATTTTCAAATGAATCTTCACAAACATTCTCTTGTAAGAAATAAAATTGCCTGATTAAATTTGGCAATAGGTTTGCTTGGTTCGTTTGCACTAAATGCGGTCCAAATATCCATGGACAGAGAAACATTTTCCATATTAACTAGTACAACGTCCGTTTAATGATTTCTTCATTGGAGTTTTAGTTATGGAAAGCGAAAGTCTTGTTGTTCAAATCGAACTCTAATTGTCGTGATAGGAATTTCATTCGGACAAAGAAAATTCCGCGTTTCTCAAATGCAAGCATGTAGAAATCCGATTAGGGAAAAATTAAATGAGAGAATTTTCCTACTCGAGATAATTTTTTCGTGTTTGAATCATGCGAATGGAAGCAAGGCACTTAGAACGTAGCTGGATACCTCTATCGAATGAAATGTCTAGGCTTAACTGAATCAGTTGGAGCAAAAAATCATGAAATGAGTCCTATATCAATTCGTCGCTCGGCTGACATAAGGGCGTAACTACACATTGAGATGGGTCCGGAAAAGCTTTGAGTTGTATGTATGGACGACAGGGTCAATTACAGAGTGCAGTTACGCCCTTATGTCAGGAAGGCAACGAACTGTCCCATAGAAAAGAAAAATGTAACAGAAAATCCACATAGTTTTAAACCAAAAAACGTGGTGTTTATATTTCACTATTCACCATTTGTATGCATTTATGCAATCACTAAAGAGGTGATTTTTAGATTAAATGTCTTGTGTTGACTGTGGTGCTTATATTGGTAATATGCTAGAGTTGTATGATACAGCTGTAAAGGTCTGGACCCTTTCCCATAATTTTAAATTTTGCCCCAGGTGAAATTGTGTCCCATTTTGCCCAGAGTGGTCTCATTCAGCCATCCTCCGCATTAGAATCTTTCACCACGTCACTGGTTGTTGTTCATCAGTAACGCATTTTTCAACAATTATGATCAAACATGACATGCGGAATCAGCGGCATTCTCCTGCTAATACATAATACGTATAAATTTCATGCTGCTACTTACTTGAACTGAATTTAATAGTCAAGAATAACGCAACAAGCATCAGTGTAAAAACAATCGCAACATTTGCAGTGTGTATTATCATGGTAATGAGCAAGGACATGTGTAAGATTATCGATAAAAAGCATCTTAAAATTTTACTAACTTCGCAGTTTATATTGCAACATTACAATCTGCACCACGCTTTCACAGTAGGTACGATACCTATTTCTGGAGTAAAAATTTTGGTCATAACATTGGTCACTTAAAAAATTCCAATTGAGATGTAGGTTTAACCCTTCAAACGAAATCTAACAAAACAAGTTTCACCATCATTAGAACAGGACATAGAAAAAACCATTCCAAAAACCAGGGGAATTCAGGCTTACTCAGTTGCTCATCGGAAAGAAGCTTGAGTTCGCCTGATACACTGAGTGAGTAGGCCACTATATCGACACGCGTGTGGATTTTTGCATCACTCTTGATTGAAGGAGAATCATCCGTTGACATTGCCAATGCACTATCGCGGTCATTTACGTCTCGTTATTTTGTGTTCTTGATTATAGAACTTTTACTTAATCAGGCATGATCACATAGACTCAGCGATAAAAATGTTTCTGTCAATAATCACCATTCCTCACAAATAATTCACGGAATTTAAAACGTTTTTTTCGCTGCAGAGTGTCAAGCTATTCCTCTAATGGAAGAGTATATTTGAAATACAGGGGACAGTTGTTATCCGTGAGTCCGTGTAGTGGTTTTAAACCGGCTATTTGACGTGCTCACACTGCTCACCCTGCTTTCGTGGGCGGTTTTCCAATTAAAAAATAAAATCTGCGTGTCTTGTGTGCAAAAGCACGATCGTACTATGCGAGGTGGCGTGGTTGACCTCGCAGAGTTGGATCGTGAATTCCCTTCATGTGCTCCTGCTGCTTACCTATCCTATATTATTAAAATCTCTGGGAATGAAAACTAATGAGGTTGATATATACAAGTCCATGACGCGCCTTATTAACACATTGTGTTGGATTTCACTGCTTGTTTTTACTCAATTATCCAGGCAAATATGCCAAAAAAGAGGCCATGGCCTGCAAAAATCCCGGGTAGCTATGATTTCAGTGATTCCCATGTAATTTTTGACGTTGAATCCGACTTTCAACTTTGCAGCAAAAAATTCAGACCAGAAAGTTTCCAAATTTAGCAAAAATGTGAAAATTTGTCATGTTAATTTTGAAAATAACTCATTTTTTCGTCAGATCGACTTTTCGCGTGTTACAGGCCATGATCCGCCAAAATAGGCAATTTTAGACCATTTTTGCCATTTCTGGCAACTTTCCGGTCCGAATATTTGTGCAAAGTTGAAATCCAGATTCAGCGTCAAAAAGTACGCAGAGGCGTCGTCAGCCAAGTTGACGGTTGTTTACTTTCGGTTTGAAGGCGTTTTCGCGTCACTACTATCCATATGAAAATATCTGGATCTCTCAGAAGCAAAAACACAAGCTTCGATAAGTTTTTTAAGACTTTCAAACCTTGTAACACTTTAATTTTTAGCCACACAGAAATCACAACCACAAAAAAGTCGCAAATCATAACTGATAAGTAGTTTTTTTACGATACGATCATGAGACGGATGTTTTCAATGTGGATAGTAGCGAACGCCGCTTTGTTCAGAGGCCCAAATTCGTCGTTGGCGCTTGCAAACCGATAATAAACAACCGTCAACTTAGCTGACGACACCTCTAGGAATCAATGAATTTTTTTTTTTTCCGGAAGGAGTTTTGTTAAATATAACGTAACCACTACAAGTTCTTCCTTGTACAGTAAAAGCTCGTTAAGACGAAAAATGAAGGGACCGAAAAAAATTTCGTCATAAGCGGCTTTTCGTCTTAACCGTTCTCCGCTTAAGATGAAATTTTTCGGCATAAGCGGCAACTGCGCTTGAAAGTGGCGCTAGTATCCGCGCTGCTCTCACCCATGTAGCAAAATTTGAAAGATGATTGCCAAAATATTGATCATTTATTTACAATTTTGTCGTTTTTATACAAGTTCAGGGGGAAAAATCAGAGATTTTTCTTTGTCTTAACCGGCTTTAGTTACAGGTCAAAATTTCGAAATTTCGTCTTATTCGTATTTTTTTTACATTGACTCTTATGGATGTGTCAAGGGACCGAAAAAAATTTCGTCTTCAGCGGATTTTCGTCTTAACCGTATTTCGTCTTAACGAGCTTTTACTGTATCTATCTACATGGTTTAAAACTAAAACTAAACGAATTGCATTAAATTTACAGGGTAAAATGAGATAATACAATGACTGAAACCATTGGAACCTGGGATTTTTGCAGGTTCTTTACCTTATGTGCCTGGACTATTATTGTTTCTCTCTTTGATGGGATTTTGATCTGTTCCGGCAGGGAGGAGCCAGCGGCGATGGGCTAAGCAGGTGGCCGGATAATGGAGCAAGTCACGGAGGCGGAGGCGGAGGCGGCGGAGGGCCGATGCCGGGGGAGGAGGCGGCGGAGGTCGCTCGAGGGGGACGAGAGGGAGACGTGGTCCGGCAAGGTGGACTTCCTCCTCTCCGTCATCGGCTTCGCCGTCGATCTCGCCAACGTCTGGAGATTCCCATACCTTTGCTACAAGAATGGAGGCGGTGAGTACCTTCCCTTTACCTCTGGAGATTAGAACTAGAGTACCTGTGTAAGGGAAGTGCGTCCATGTCCTAGGGGAGGAGGAAGAAAAATGACGCAGAAGAGGATGAGTAATCATGAGAGGGAAGAGGAAGATACAGGAGAACAATGGAATGAAGGAAATATGTAGAGGAGATGGAAGATGAAAATGTAGAAGAAAATTAAAAATAGGAGACGAAGAGAAAGTAAAGGGGAAGAGGAGGAAGAGGAGGAATAAGAAGAATGATGCAGGAGAGGATGAATAATCATGAGGAGAAACATGAAGATACAGGAGAACAATAGAATGAAGGAAATAAGTAGGTAGAGGAGAAGGAAGATGAAAAGGTAGAAGGAAATTAAAAAGGGGAGACGAAGAGAAAGTAAAAAGGAAGAGGAGAAAGAGGAGGAAAAAGAAGAATGATACAGAAGAGGATGAATAATCATAAGAAGAATAGAATGAAGAAAGGAAGTAGAGGAGGAGGAAGAAGAAGAAAAAGAAGAGAGGAAGAAGAGGATGATGAGAAGCAGAGGAGGTGGAATATTAAGGGAAAGAAGAGGAATCTCTCATTCTTCTTCGTTATCTCCTTCTTCCCCCTCCCCTTTTATGATAATTACAGGAATTTAATCATTACCAATTTTTGGGTAGTTTTGTGGGGGTGAAAAGCACGGTTTAAAGCGACGGTGAGATGTTCAAATACGGAGGGAACTTAATTTTCTATGTTTTTAATAATGTTTAGAAACTTTCTTTACAATTTGTTCCACGTCCGACAGCCAAGGTGACGATTTATCGTGAGGGACCGCAATGGATCCCACCTAAATGCCGATCGAATCGATTTACCTGTAAGGGATTCAAATCTATAGAGAGAACCACACGCTCGGAAAAGAAGCAAAACTATTGAGAAAGTGGGGTGGAAAATCGGGTGAAAATAGGTGCCAAGACACTAAAAGCTTCTGCTTTGCTGACTATGGAACAGCGATGCCGAATTTGAGGAAGAATCAGTGTCCTACAAATTGGACCATTCAAGAAATTCCGCCCCGGGTGGCAACGTCCCCCCGGACACGACTACAATGTCATCTTTTGATGTCGCCAATGTCGGGAACCTCAGCCGCGAAAAGGCCGTTCTTTTCTCTTGAGTTCACTGGCGAGTCGCGCTTCGTGATGCGTCGATTGATCTGCCATTTAAACTTATGGAAAATGATCGATTATTAGAGTGTTCTTGACGAATACCTTACTAATCGATTCTTTACCATAGCCTCAAATGGGAATGTATCGATAGCTGATGTTTCCAGTGCTTATATTGAAAGAGTGGCATTATAGTTCAGAAATCGCCCCTTACTCACCTCGCAATCGACATCAGTGGCGTGGCGTTCTTTACGATATATCGATTGATCTGCCTTTTAAACCTATGGAAAAGGATCGATAAACGGAGTGTTCGCAACGCTCATCTTAACAATCGATTCCTTACCACAGCTTCAAATGGGGGAATATCGATAATCGATCATTCAACCCTCGCCACCGACGATATCCTCTCCCTCCGGTTGAACTTTTTTCTTTCCCTAGGAAATGTTAGTTCCGCTCTTCGCGGGACTTTGCCACCCTAATTACAGGCGCGCAATTTTGTCAATTGTTGCGCCCTCTTACAGCCACTTGATTTTCCATTTTCTTTCTTCTTCTTTTTCTCTGTACTCTTTTCTTCTTTTTTCTTTTTTATCATCTTTTTTCCTCCCGTTGCTCTTTTCTCACAGAAACGATTCCAAGCTCCCGTTTTGTCCTGGCTGCGTCGAGCAAATCTGAAGAAATGAAATTAAAACTCATGGAGAGCCATTTAATCGTGGTTGATTTTATTCTATTTGTTCATTATCGACGGATCTGTTGTTTTTCACCAGTGATCGAACTTTAAATGGCTCTTAGCGGGAAAAGGAGAGTTGTGATCGGGTCTCGTCCTTTTACCTATCTCCTGAATCCGAGCGACACCTCAATGATTGAGCAGAGTGGGTGAGTATTGCGAGTTCACACCTCGCGCCAGCGCGCCTTCAATTTTGCGGATACAACACGGACATCCACCAAGCACGAATAGTTGCATCTCTGCGCCGTCATCAACGCGCGTCCATTCTCTTGCTCTTTTTCCATATTGCGTTCGTTTCCGTTTGTCTTATTTGTGGTGCTTGAAGGGCTACGTTAGCAACACAGCCACAGAAATGAGAAACGTAATCGGGCCTTGTTTTATAATTTGTCTCCCAAATCCGAAAGGCACTTCATTGAGGCACTTCAATAGAGCGGAGCATACCGAGTTCCAACTCACGCCATCGCGCCTTCAATTTTGCAGATACAATACGGACATTCACCATGCACGAATAGTTGTAGCTCTACGACCGTTATAAATGAGCGTCCTTTCCTTTACGCTACTTCCATATTGTGTCTCTCTAAGGGCACACGTCTTAAATTGTGTATATTGATGAGAGTTGTGTCGCGTACGTGTCAGGGTTTTTTTTCGGGCGACTTTCGTGAGAGAGAAAGAAGGTAGTAGTAGTGAAATAAGTTTATTTTAAAGGCCATTTACACCTCTGTGTGTTTACATGGAAATCAAGGTTACATCAGTAAAAGTACAAAAGGGTTGAGGGGAAAGGTTAAATTTTGAGTTTAGTGGAGCGCATAAATTCAAAAAGTTTTACAGGATGAGTATTTAGAGTTTTCTGGTCAGAGATAATCTGGTTATTTTTAATCAAATTTGTAATTGCTAGAAATTTATTTGTCCCTGAGAATAGTCGAATTGCATTCCACACTTCAGAGGGAGTTGTATCACAATTAAACCTATTAACAAAATGTATCCAAAATGCAGCTTTGGCATCTTTAAGGACCCTTTTTGCCTGAGAAAGAAAGAAAGAAAGAAAGAAAGTAGTAGTAGTAATATAATTTTATTTTAAAGCTGTGCTTTAGCATCTAAGGCCATTTACACCTCTAAAGAAGGCAGTAAAAGAGAGAAAGAAAGAAAGAAAGAAAGGAAGAAAGAAAGAAATGAATAAATAAATAAATCATTCTCGATATATTTTGTTTAATCCTACGCACAAAATGACGTTCTAAACATAAGCGTAAAATAAACGCACTAATTACTCCCTGAAATCAGTCATATCTGGAATATTCGTCTCGAGTTAAAGGAGCAGATGGGCGGAGAGCTCAAAGGTGTCGCATCGCGCCGGGGGGGATCCGAGATGGGGACCTGTTGGGGGGGGGGAGGGTTGATGACATCAAAGGCGCTTTTATCCTTCATTTCCTTCTTCAGGGCCGCACTCATTCAAAGCGATCTTTGACGAGGCCATCTGAGAACGGAACAGTGGCGAGGCGTGAATGATCGATTATCGATACATCCCCATTTGAAGCAATGGTAAAGAATCGATTATTAAGGTGCTCGTCGCAAATACTTTGATAATCGATCATTTTCCATAGGTTTAAATGGCGAATAGATCGATGTATCGCAAAGCGCGCCACGCCACTGGAACAGAAAGTTGGAAGTTTGCCGTTATGACGTGGGGAGGAAGGGCGAAGGAAATTGAAACGTAGACGTCGCTGCTAAACGCAGACGATGTGCAGTTTAGTGTGGGATCCCCCTCCCTTTTAATTGGACGTATTTATGTGCTAAAAGGAATTATGACCCGTGGAAACCCAGTGCACATAGCTCCTTTTAGCGCAATTGCGTGCAATTGAGCAGTGTAAATGGGCCACCAGACAGGATAAGCGCGTGAATTAAAACATCAAAGACATGTTTCCTCATCTAGGAACAAAATGTTATACGATGGGCAGTAAACCCCAAGAAAATTTGATGTTTGACAGATATTTTGTTAGAAACACAAATGCACAAAAATAGCCCGAATAATTTAACTAAGAAAACACAAAAAAATCAGGTTATCATTGATGAAGGCCAAAAAACAGCAAAACATAAAGCCTCTGAGACGTTGCAGGGTGGTTTCCACCCCCTACTCGACCAGGAAACAAAAAATTTTATAACTCTAAAAAAAACTTTTATCGCTTAATTAGGGTCTGGGTATTTTGATTTTCGTAATTTGTCATATATTTTCATGATTTTTCAATTTGATTTTTGTAGTTTTTTATATATTTTTGTTTCCTAGTCGAGGTGGGGGTTGAAATCACCCCGGAACGGCCCAGGTTGTATGTTTTGTTCTTTTTAGCCTTTTGTTACCCATTTTTATTGCGCTGTTTAATTTTGTTTAAATTTTGTTAGAAATTGAAAATTTGAGGGTTATTAATAAAAAAAAAATTCTTCCCTACTCTTCCTCATCTCCTGGTTAAATTCCTTTTTTTTAAAATGACAATGGTCATTTCGAAATCTTGAGTACCCCATCATCATGAGTCCTGATAAAAATGGAAATGTTTTTCAAAATATGAAACTGTTTGTGCTAAGACTTATCACTGTAGCTGAAATGGAAAATTTGTAGGTGTCTGAAATTTGGTGAATTTCATGTTTAACATAGAACTATCAAGTGAACTGAGCACGAAAATGTAATCAGTTTGTAAATTGGACGATTATTGAAGGGGATTTGACGAAATAACCTAATCGTTTAAAATACATGCGTTTGAATGGGAAATACAGTCAGCTGACGTCAGAAGGCGGTACATTTACTCCCTTTTAATTATATTTTAAATATACAATTTCCCATATCATAAAAAAATGTGAAGAATACTGCGAAATCAAGTGACTTAGCAGTTTCGGATCAAGCAATGCAATTTTTGTGTGCAAATTCTCCATTGTCCGACAGTGTGTGTATAGTGAGTAAAAACAATGAAATTCGGTTTAAGTTTCTTCGATCCCCGAAGCAGCAATTAAAGATTCTCCATGGAGAGGAGTCGAGAGGTGGTAGAATCTGACATCAAACTACGTCCGAATAACCTTTACTTTTACCACAGAGATATCAATAGATAGACCCCTGAAATGATGGAGGGCAAAAAATAATAGACCCCCGAAAGGACGCACGAAAAAGGTGTAAAAGAGTTCGCAGGGCCCAGGATCCGTTGCGATGTCAAGGCTATGAACAATGGGCGCATGATTAATTGGAAAAAGTAAGCGGCGCACAAGACTGGTACACAAGTTTGCAATATTCTCGTCATAACCGTGATGAATGTGTACACTAGGGGTCAGGAACACAGTTGCCGAATAGTGTTACGAATATTCCATGTGTATGGAACCAACTGTTATACTAAACCTGCCACTTTATTATCATCATTATTACTCCGAGAAAAAACTATGGTAAAAACGACCGTATTTAGTAGTGTTCCATTATAAGCTCTCAATGGACTACCAGACAATGTACGAATTTAAGCATTCTGATACCGCAGATTTCGACTTTATAGCCCAAAAAGGATAAGAGTCCCTGCGCATGAGCCCAAATAATTATTCCCAACCAAAACACTGGCAAAATTCAGAGGAATGGAAGCAGAATTATTGTCGGGGAAAAAAGTCCCACTCGCTGCAGAGAGCGATTATTGTATCGAATGGGACGTTTCTTCTAAAAAAAATCCTGCTTTCATTTTTCTGAATTTTGCCAGTGTCTTGCCAGGTCCAGGTATTAATGATTTCAACTGAAACTAATCTTAATTAATATTCAGTGAAAAATTCACACCCAAATTCTAATTTTTAAGTATTAAAAAGTCAGATTGAACACTCCTCGCCATAAGGATCCATGTAATTTCGGAATTTCAAACCCGTATTTTCCAAAATAGCAAAAACTGCATTTATGCACCGTGTCTTCCAAGACCCTCGTGTTATTTTTAAACTTTGAACGCGTATTTCTTGCAATAGCAAGAAATGCACTTACGCGCCTTGTCCTCCAAGCTCCTCATTTGATCGTTCGATTTATTTCATTTTGCGTTTATTTTTCATTCTCTCGATTTATTTTATTCTTTTTTCCTTCGCTATCATCCTCTTAATCGTCAAACCACAATCTTCTGCTCGAGGAGCTGACCGATCGAAGGCTAAATCGCGATCGGGTCGCGCGCTTACATGTGAAGGAACACCCTCCGGAGATCAAAGAGACGGAAGTCAACCCCGGTGGGTTTAATAGAAAAGTAAGTTCATTAATTGATGGCGCGAAGGTTGAAGGCGGGAAGGAGACTGTCTGCCACTCCTGTCCCGGAATTAACACACAACTCAATTAACTCGCCTAAAGGCTCCGATAATGACGGGTGTAATCTTATTAGTTATTACAACTCCATTTAAATTACTCCGCTTCCTATACTCCACCCTCCTTTCTCGTGACATCGTCGTAAGTCTGACGTCACGACAACGTTAATCGGATCATTTTTCGCCACTTCTTTCTTTGTCTTCAAACTTAGCCAGGAAGCTATCTACATAACAGCATTTTTCTCGGTTTGAAAGGTACAGCCAAGTACTCAGTTTTTAGATTTTTAATTTTTTTTACTGTGCTTATACAACTGAAGAAGGCTTCTTCTTCTTCTTGTTATTTTAATAGCTTTTACTCCAGTAGAGAAGCCTACAGCCATCTAAAGACATTTAGTATAATTTTTCAGGAGTAGGATTTATTACAAATATGGTTAGGAATATTTGTGGCAACGTATACAGGCTCATACGACGTTTTTTCCTAGCGCGACATGATTGGTCCAGCTGTCCCACCGCGTTGCGGCGCCTTAAAATCGCTAAAGAGCCGTTGGGCTTAAAAATATTAAAATTCCTTTGAGATTCCTTGGCATAGCACAAGCTGAAAAAGAGTGGTTTAATACACAGGAGTTGCCTTCGGCAACGAAGGTCGAAAAAGAGAAAGAAAAAACAATTCTTGACGACTTATTCGTAATTTTTCCTCTCCGTTTTAAGACCACGTTTCAAAAATTTCAATCGATAAAGTCAGCTCGTTTCTCCTCAAAAACATAAAATAGGAGCGGGATATTCAAAACACCGCAATCGAATAGTGTTTCCGTAGGTTTATCGCGAATAAACCGCTATTACCTGATTTTTCCACGTAATAAAATGTATTTTATTTTGTTACAGGAGCTTTTTTAGTCCCGTACTGCATCATGCTTTTCATAGGAGGGATTCCACTATTTTACATGGAGTTGGCTTTGGGGCAGTTTCATCGGAAAGGGGCCATTACATGCTGGGGCCGAATCGTTCCCCTCTTCAAAGGTAAGCCGATAATTTCATTTCGCGCGCATTTTCATTTTTGCATTTCCGCGCTGAAACAGCTGTTCTGCGTGATAGGTGGAAATTCTACCTGTGAGCGATTTTGTGGTATTCATAGTTGTACTAGTACGATTGGTGTCCCTAAATTTCTATAAAAAGAAGAAAAAAACCCAGAAACATACATTACAATCAAATGTGATTCCATGTTTAAGGCGATTAAAAGCACGGATTTGACCAGGGTCCGCCTACGTGCAGGAGCTGCAAGTTGATTATTGGAATTGATAGACAAAGCGATGGACAAAATGGATAGGAGAAAATGGAGAGATCCTATTGGTTGCAACGGTTAGTTGCAATGAAATAATGGGGGGGAAATGATGGATTAACTAAAAGGGCTCTCGTAAGGTGCCATTAGTTCGTCATTACTAAGTTTCTGTATCCATTGCAACCGCCCGCTTTTACCAACCAGGTTGCTCAATTTTCCCTTTGTCTCCTATAGTCTATAGATTTATCTATCAATTGTAATATTCGGCCCACATACGTCACACAGTGGTTTTAAGTCAATCTGAGAGGTCGGACAAACTATTTTTGACAAAAACTACCAATTTTGATGTATATTACGTCACATTTAAAACTTTAAGGGGTGCTTTCGGAAGAAAACTTCACGAGGAAACTAATGAAACCACTTTTAGAACCTTAAAAATGTGTATAAATGTATAGTTATGAGCTTTTGAAGTTTCCAAAGTTTGTCCGACCCCTCCTATTGACACGATCCACTGTGCGTCACCTAATTTTGTCTCAATGTCGCACATTGAAAATTTTGCCGACGTGGACTGAGCTTTCTTTTCCCGCAGACGGTCTTAAGAAGAGATTGAGCACAAAGAAAAACAGAATATATCGACCGGCATACCAGTCAACAGACCAACAGACTTTACCCTTAATTTAAGCGATTTTTTTTCTGAAAAGGAGCGGTTCTATTTTCCAGGTGAGCCAGGCACTACGCACGCATGATATCGTTCTAGGGCTCATCTCGAAGATGGATTCCATTCGGGGGACAACCCGTTCATTTACGGTTAACGAAAAATTATACGGAAAACCCTCACCGAGGCTGCGCGTCATCGTCTCAAAACGACTCATGCCGTAAGTGCGGATCGCGGGAGAACCCTAATCCGTGAGTTGAGGAGTCGCGGCGAAGAGGTGAGGGGTAGCGAAAAAAAGGGGAGGGAGAAGATTCAACAAGTTCCGATTCGACGGGATAATGAGCCAGATTCTGCAGATGAAGTAATATCCTGGAGCTTAGGGCTACGGTGCCCTGCCACGTTAAAACGACGCAACTGAGATGGGGACTCTACGGGTTTACGATTTTCCGAGTGCGCAAGAGGCGGGGGAGAGGGGGGATTTGAACCCGCGGGGAGGAAGGGAGAGCTGAAGGGGTGGCTTTCAGCGCATCGTTGACATTTTTCCCCTGTCGATCTATATACACATTATATCGTCGCTCCTCTGACGTAGGAGCGTTTCTAGATTTCTGCATGAGCCTCGGAAAGCATGGATTTACATGTAAAACAGGGCTCACGTCGAATTTGAGATACGTCCTTACGTCTTAGAAGCTGAGCTTGGGTTGGTCCCCCCGGCCGAACCCCTTTCAGCTACTCTATCAACACTCGTGTGAGGGTGCGTGAGGGATTAATGCTTTTATGATTCCAGTTTACGTTGGAAAATTATTGTTCTTATTAGCTGGTGAAAAAGTTTACCGATCTAGCCCATTTAAAGCTACGACAAAGAATCGATTAAACGAGGTGTTCGTTGCAAACACCCTGTTTATCGATTCTTTCCCATAGGTTTAAACGGCAGATCAATCGATACATCGCAAAGCACGTCACGCCACTTTCGGAGGGTCTAATAGTTGACGATAACCAGGCACCGATTCTCAGAGCGATCTCTGTGTGTAACTCGTAAGTTAAGTGAGTGGGAGGCAGATCTCAGCGGTATCGAAGTCGAAGCGGTGAGTTTCAATTGCAATTCCAGCTAAGCTGAGATTACTGTGGCAAGCTCCTTAACCTCTCCTCTCTCTCCGCTAAGCGGAATCAATCATAAGCCACAGTATGCCCAAAGCCACTTTCTCACATCCCCTCACCTCACCATGAATTTGGTCATACTGTAGCCTTTGATACTTTAAATTACTGCGTTATCCTCGCACATGGCTGAAAGGAATTGGCCAAATTGTGGCAGGTGTGTTAAATGATTGGGTATCAGTTTTGTAACAATACGCAATGGTTGAAAATGGAGGATCAGCCAAAAATCGCGCGGAACTGCGAAAGCGTCGGCCATGATGAATATTGCCGACGATAGAGCGACTCCTCTGACAAAATGTTCACCTGTGCCGTAGTATCGTTTTTGAAGCGGGAAACTAAAAAAAAACCGCAAATTTCTTACGCAGATTGTGAAGTCATGAGTGCACTTCAGACTTCGTCGACGCGCTCATCGTGATTTTTGAGGCATTATCTATAAGAAACAACTCTTAGTTTTGCTCTAGCAAAAGTTTGCAACAGGCCCATTCTCCATTGATCGATATTTTTACAAAGTTAGGACGTGCGATGAGTTAGCGGAAAATATTTTATCCTCCAACGCCTGCCAAGAGTGGTAAGCGAGGATGAAACCGTCCTCCTGACAACTCAGAATTCAAGTGGGAGACAATGGTCATCCCATCGACGTATTACAAGGCGGCGTTTTCTGACCGGGGGAAAAATCAAATACCTCACGTGTTTCGCGAAGTAGATCTGAGGTTTTTCTGTCTAAATGGCAACAGGACCTGTGCATTCCACTCAAAATACACCCGTGACAAAAGAAACCACACGGGTTTATTGCTTCACGGGGTGGACGCGCGGTCAACACTCGTGTATATCATGCATGCCAAATTGATTAAAAATCATACTCTATAATTTGAATCATGGTACAATATACATGATTTTAATATTTTTTCCAAGTTCTGTCACGCTAATCTTTGGTTTTAACCCATTTGTACATCGATGTTTTAGGGTCAAATACGTTCTATTTTGAGCGTTCGGTTGAGCGTAAACGCTGCAGGACAGTAACAGAACAAAATTTAAAAGAAAAAATGAAAGTGCCTAGAAAATCATTTAAGTTGACAAGGAATCGAACCTCAATATTTTCAAAACACACATCATATTTTCCTTTAAAACGTAATTCTTTTCATCAATTTAAATGAGAATAATCCATGCAGAGTGTGCAAACATTTCAAAATCATTAGATGAGAACTGAATCTGCGAGTTTAAATATTATATGCTAACATAGAGCGGAGCCGCGTGCTGCCAGCACGACACGCGCACTAGCCCCTACAAACCTAAGGGGATACTTCACGCATTGCGCAATGCTTGGAGTATCCCTGTTAGGTTTGTAGGCGCCAATGCGCTTCTCGCGCAGGCTGGCCGTGCCACGGCGCATCAAGCAACTATTTCATAACGGATGTGTTGCATAGTAGCATACAAAATTGAAGGCGCTTCAACATATTAAGAATGACAGGCATTCTTCAAGAGTACGGAGCTTTCTTCGCAAAATAAATCAAATTACTATGGCAGTAAATGAAAGGAGTAGTGCAAAAACTCACTAAGTCCTAGCATCCGTCTTTAATAAGGAGAATGAGTTGGCAACGCATGTGGCGGTCATCCTCGAACTTGCTGTCAGTTATGTGTGTTAATCAACCCTCTGTCCCAGGATACGTAGGAGGGGGTTCTCACCCCGTGATTGTTTAACCGCAATCGTACAAAACTTCCGTGAAAAATCTTCCGACTTTTGCCTCAGCGGATATGCTTATGGTGACACCGCGAACGTTCATTGGATATGAACTTAATGAAAGGTCCAGAGGGTACCGCAGTCCAGTGGCTTATTTTGTATCGAAAGGTGGGAAATACTTACTGTAAGTAACAAAGTTCAACAGCGTATCGATGGCCACAGTACAAAACCACTTGTATCCGTTTGCGTATGTTACGCACAGATCGTGTAATTGCCCAGTTCATGAATTGGGCAGATTTTTGCTCATTTCATGAAATGGGCAATGTTGTTGCCCAAATCGTGAAATGGCACCAAAATTGCCCATTTCATGAATTGGGGCGGGAAAAAATCGCCCAATTCACGCATTGGGCAAATAATGAAAAAAACGCTCACACTCAATTTGTGTAATTGCCCAATTCGTGAACTGGGACATGAAAATATTGAAAGTAAGTATTGAAAAAAGTAGAAAGTAGGAAATGATATCATGCTAATGTAACTCACCTAATTGTTATTGGCGCAGGTCCTTTGCGGGTGGCAAGCGGAATTGCACTGCACTTTATTCTTGAAGCAACGGCACTGTAAGGTGCGACACATAGATTTTTTGCAGGAGCACCGCTGGTACCCCTGTCCACTTCCGACGGACATTTTCCGCACCAATTCCCGAACACTGAAACAATCTTGCGGCACATCCTCCACCTTCAGACCTTTATATTTCACAACTTCAAAAGCATTTCGCGCTAATCGTGTAAAAATAATTCCACATTTACTACCGATCTGGAACAAGCCATTCTCCTCCTTCATCACGATCCCAATAATATTGGCTGGATCGCCGCGACCTCGGTCAAATTCGGAGACGGGGACGGTAACGCAATCCCCAACTTTGACTCTGGCTAACTTCTTTTCCGCACGTGTCAGCATTTTCTGTGCCTGCGTTTTTAAACTTTCGCTCGCTTTTTGACGAAGAGTTACTGCAGGATGAGCCTTTGATGCCTCTGAGGTCGTTGGAATGTTAGGCTGAGACTCTGCTGTTGTTCTGTCACTGGGTTGAATGTCGCACGCCGACATTTGACCGAGGTCGCGGCGATCCAGCCAATATTATTGGGATCGTGATGAAGGAGGAGAATGGCTTGTTCCAGATCGGTAGTAAATGTGGAATTATTTTTACACGATTAGCGCGAAATGCTTTTGAAGTTGTGAAATATAAAGGTCTGAAGGTGGAGGATGTGCCGCAAGATTGTTTCAGTGTTCGGGAATTGGTGCGGAAAATGTCCGTCGGAAGTGGACAGGGGTACCAGCGGTGCTCCTGCAAAAAATCTATGTGTCGCACCTTACAGTGCCGTTGCTTCAAGAATAAAGTGCAGTGCAATTCCGCTTGCCACCCGCAAAGGACCTGCGCCAATAACAATTAGGTGAGTTACATTAGCATGATATCATTTCCTACTTTCTACTTTTTTCAATACTTACTTTCAATATTTTCATGTCCCAGTTCACGAATTGGGCAATTACACAAATTGAGTGTGAGCGTTTTTTTCATTATTTGTCCAATGCGTGAATTGGGCGATTTTTTCCCGCCCCAATTCATGAAATGGGCAATTTTGGTGCCATTTCACGATTTGGGCAACAACATTGCCCATTTCATGAAATGAGCAAAAATCTGCCCGATTCATGAACTGGGCAATTACACGATCTGTGCGTAACACGTACATTCCTTTTTCGTCGGAAAACTAATCAACACTGGGGAAAAAAAACTCATTGGATCAAGAGTCCAGACTCTTGAAAACATTGACAAGAAAAAATACTCTTGATTCAATCAGATTTTTGTTTAAATCAAAAGGAAATCCGCTCAAATTAAGAGGCTTGGTTCATGATTTAAGCAAAAATCCGATTGAATCAAGAGTATTTTTTCTTGTCGATGTTTTTGAGAGTCTGGACTCAAGATCCAATGTGTTTTTTTTCCAGTGGACGTAATTCTTTGAAAACTGCCTTGATTTTTCTTCTCTGCCAGCAGAATATTCTGAATCAATTTCATACCATACAGTCGGTTTTTTTTTATTATAATTTAGATCTCCTCTATTGAAAAGAATTAAAATTTGAGAATGAGATTTACACGAGATAATTTATTATAACTAGACGACAGTATTTGTTATAAAGCAACAAGGATAAAAGGAATGAGTTTTAAGGAAGGAAAGACACGGGAATCGCAAATGAAGCATATTAATAGAGTCGCCTCCCTTAAAAAGTTGGCTTGCTTCTCTTCGGAAATTATAAACTGGGAGCGAAAATTTCGAAACATCGCACTGGAGTTACGTGGTAATGTACTTTGACGATCGATACGGTTTTCAGATCTGAACCTTGTTTCAAAGCATTGGTCTGTGTTTAACGATATGAGCTAAAGCTAGATTTTAAACGAATGTTACAGGAATAGGTTATGCAGTGGTGTTAATCGCCTTCTACGTGGACTTTTACTACAACGTTATCATTGCCTGGGCCTTGCGATTCTTCTTCGCCTCCTTCACATCTTTCCTCCCCTGGACGACCTGTGACAACCCCTGGAACACGCCGCAATGTCGAGAGGTCTTTATTCTATATTATTTCTTAGTCTCTCTATCTCTATTTCTATCTCTATCTCTTTTCTCTCTTTTCTTATTTTCTGGTCTTGAGTTTTCTTTTTTAAACATGATTTTTTAGCATGAGATAATAAAACATCAGTAGTGTGGCGTGCATTGCGATATATCGATTGATTTGCCATTTGAATTTATGGAAAAGGATCGATAAGCGGGGCGTTCACAACGAACACTATAATAATCGATTCTTTATCACAGGTTCAAATGGGGAAATTTCGATAATCGATCATTAACCCCTCGCCCTCGAAATGCATAAATTCTCAGAAAATGACTTTTATATTATATCGACGACAGGACTTCCAAATCAAGTATCTCGTTTGAAATATTTTAAAATTCTCCGCTCCCATTGTATTCCCTAAGAGAGAAAAAATTAACATCATGCCTTTAAGTTTTTTTTGGAAACTACATCGCACAGAGAAAAAAAATCACAAAGGATTTAAAAAAATTGACGTTCTGTAGTTCTACATGTGAAAATAAAGTATGGCAGGGAATATACAACATCGCAAACCGAGGTCCATGGTTTGGGAATTTCACCGTCGATATAAATTTGGTTATTTCCAAAAAATATAAGAGTTTACCTGAAGGACATACCGACAGACATGGGCTTTCTAGATTTATCTTTCATAGTTAAAATGCAGAAAAAAAATTGAGTTTCAAAAGAAATGGAAAAGCAAGGTAGTTAGAATATGAAAACTATTTAATCGTTCATACGTCTACGTGATTTGAAAATGATGGAAACAGTCCTCTTTCATTCCGAGAGACGACCTGTTTTTTTGTAAATTTTTGGAGCCTGAAAAATCTATTGCTTAATATTTTCTCATTTAATACGTCTTTCGATCATAAAAGCCAAGCAACATATTATATCAATAAATTATTAAAAATCTTAATTTAAGTCAGAGTCTGAAAAGTTTTTAAGTGGGTGCATCCGTTAGCTGAGTCTTAAAAAATGCTACCTAAGAAATGAAGGAAGTATTGATTTTCAGCATCAACCTGATCAATTTTCAGTTGAATATTATGTGGGAACGAGACACGGACTTAAGTTTGATGGGCGAAAACACATCTTATGGCTTCAGGATATCCAACTTCAGCGCATTTGACTCGAACAGCACGGAAATTCAACTCAATTCAGCTGCCGCTGAATATTTCAAGTGAGTGGAATGGACTTCATTAAATTTCTTTATTTTTCAAAATGTGTAAATTGATGATCAAAGTAAAAATTCACGTTTCTCGATTTAAGATGTTAATAATTTCCTGATATATTCCATATCGATGGCTAGGGATTCGCAGACTATGATACCACAATGTAGTGACTGCTGGGTTCACGGATGTTCTTGGAATTTGAAATCCTCACAACTCATTGAAAGTATGATACAATTATTAAAATGATATGATGACTTGTGGAGTTCAAAATTACTGTTACAAAGGAGGCCTGAAAGATTTTTTCACCTCTAGATCGTTGCCAATTACTTTGAACTGATCGTGTTTATACTTTGCCCTCCTTTGGAAAATGAGCATTTGAACCTATTCGGAGATTCAAAGTTTGAATTTTTGTTTTCAGCCGCGTCATACTGGAGATGCAACATAGCGAGGGGTTACACGACCTGGGCTCCGTGAAATGGGACATGGCCATTTGTCTCCTAATAGTTTACTTGATTTGTTATTTCAGTTTGTGGAAGGGTATTTCAACATCAGGAAAGGTAAGCGGCCCTGGTAATGTTGATTTTTACTTCTGCACCGAAATAAAAATTAGTAATTGCAGAAGCAAAATTTACAATAATATTTTGGGATCACATTTCCCAGCTGAGAGCCAGTGCTTTGGTTGGCTAAATTGGCAATAGAGGTGATCAAAGAGCGATGGACTATATTATACAAGGTACGAAGTTAAGCATTTAGATATGATACATGTTTCTCAAATATCACATAGAACACGATTCGTGGAACGAAAATTACTGCACTTAACTTCTGACCAAGATATTTCATATTTCTTGACACGTGAATTCAAACCTCCCGCTCATGAAAACGTAATGGTTTACTTGAGTCAAATCGCGCTCTAAACCTCACCGTGACAGTCTCTACGATATGAAAATCCGGCATTCTCAATCTTGATGCTTTTTAACGCAATTTAACCAATGTAAAATAAGAACGTTGCTATCTTAGTTAGAAGTTCATTCCAGTAACTTTTTGTTGCTCGAATTGTGTTCTGTTGGTTTAGAAACATGTTGCAAAATACTTAACTTTGTTCCTTGTCTAGTGACCCATCCTGGTTGAGTAACCCGTAATTTTTGTGAAGTAAACCAGAAAGTCTGGCTTTAAAATAGAGTCAGCTTCATCGGTTCCGCGAACTAATTTATTTCCATGTTTTAAAAGTGAATCCCGTCTTTGATTTTAGTTTAGATATACTGCATTGACACATAACATCTTGCATAATCGGAGAAGATTAGAAAGTATTGCTTGTCTCCTCATGCAAGAAAGACAATCATTTTATTGGAAAAGAATATACTAACACGTCAAATAATCAGCCTCCAAGTCAAAAATTTATTGAAAAATGTGAGTTGCTTTCTTTACTCTGAACTCAGGTCAGATACGATCCTCTTTCCATAGACGTTCTCACCTCAGAATCTCTCTGTTTCTCGCGTGATGTTAATCTTTCATTGCTGCCAGATCCATATGAGAATGCATTATTGTTTGCAGTTCCTATCTTTTCATTAAATGTCATTTCTGATATTTAATATCTGAACTAGCCTAATTTCTAAAACAATGACTAATCTATTCCCCATTGTTTTTTTAGGTTGTTTGGTTCACAGCTTTATTTCCATACGTCGTTTTGTTCATTTTATTTCTGCGAGGGATCACTTTGCCAGGCTCTGCTGATGGGATTCGCTATTATCTCAATCCTAATTTCTCCATGATAACAAAAGCTGAGGTAAACACTCGTTTTTTTATATTCATATATTAAGAACGTTTTTTATGGTAAATTTCGAAAAAAAAATTTTTAATTTTTGTTAAAAAAAGAAGTTGTATGATGCAGCATGCCAATTGCGAGATTTATTTTTTTTAAAGATTTACTGACGAGCATTTTCTTTTAGAATTTTTACTGATTAGCTTTCATCAAAGTCAAAATAAAATTCATTTTTTTCTCTTTAAAAAATAATCTAACGACGAAGATTTTGAAATGATATTTAACTGATGTGGGTTAAAAAATAAAGTGTATACTTTGAGGGCTCATCAATAATACACAAAAATAGAGCAAATAATTTAACTAAAAAGTAAAGGCAACGAACAAGCAAGGCTAAAAAACAATAAACACAAAGAATGGGACTTTTTGAAGTGATTTTAACCCCCTCTTCAACCAGGAGACAAAAATGTAGAAAAAATTATAAAAACCAAAATCCCTGAATCCCCATTCTTGATAACCTGGCGATTATTCGTGGTAACCGAGATAATCATAGTCATCACGAGTGGGGGTTTTCGGATTTTGATTTTCATAAATTTGTCTACATTTTTGTTTTCTGGTAGAGTTGGGGGTTGAAACCACCCCCGAAACGTCCCAGTCTTTATTTTGATTTTTAAACCTGGTAACCCGTTTTCTTCGTGCTTTTTAGTTTTAAGGGTTCTTTTACACTTTTCACTTCAGTATTAATCATGAAGTTTCTGAAAGATACCTAATAAAGCGTATAGAAAATAAGAGGTGTTTGCATCTTGAGAGTTGTTTATCCCGTGACGTAGGTTGGTACAACGTGGCCAGAGAAATCCGGAATTTGAAGTACGAAAAAAAGGACCATAACGTCTGATTTTTGTTTTTTTTTTTGCTTAAATCAACTCATGATATAATTTAAAACACTAATTACAATATTTCCCAGAAAATCGATGATAAAAGTCGTCCGTACCGACCTACGCCATCAAAAAAATCTAAGATGCCCGAAATGCAAACACCTCCTTTTTTCTATACGCTAAAAAAGGATTTCCTGAAATATAATTTTTTAAAAAAATTATTGGTGTCGTCTTTTCGAAAATTATGATTAATTTGAAAGTCGTTTCAACAGTCCTAACCGGGGGGAAACAACTTCAGAGGTGACCGTCACTGGCATAACTCGATAACAATCTTCGTCAAGTTCCACGCCAGTTGCCGCAAGGCGGGGGTCATAACGGGCCACTCCATGAGGGATTGCCCGTGTATGACTTATGGTCTACGAGTCGCGGGGAGGGCGGGCCGTATAAATTGCCGCTTCATACACGGAGTTTCCATTACGATGTAACACCACTCGGCGATACGACTGGGCACTCCGCCCCGCTCGGCCGAAACCGCTCAACTCCGACGGGATTCTAAGGGTGGATACGCGGTTTTTGAGGGGAGCGTGGAGGGCGGAGGTAGGACGTGTGGACGCACGGCGTGGCGCGTGTTTCTCATATGAATTCCGCAATCCGCGCCGCGCCGGCAAACGGAACGCGGCGGAAATGGAATAAAAATCTCCCGAGCGAAAAATATCGCCGCCCGCCCCGTTGCCGATGACGTAGATTCCACCCTCACTGGAAAAAAAAACCCCCCATTGGATCTAGAGTCCAGACTCTTGAAAACATTGACAAGAAAAAGGACTATTGATTCAATCAAATTTAAGCTTAAATTGAAAGGAAATCCGCTCAAATTAAGAGGCTTGGTTCTTGATTTGAACTTAAATCTGAGTGAATCAAGAGTATTTTTTCTTGTCGATGTTTTCAAGAGTCTGGACTCTAGATTCAATGTGTTTTTAACTCTAGTGCTGCTAAGAAAAAAGTAGGATACCAATGCTGCTGTGCTAAGGAAGAACGCCGTATGAACATTCGAGAGTTGCCTTTCCCGGATAAAAAATGTATTTTTGAAGAAAGTTATGCATATTTCTCCTTGAAATTATCAGATTTTTTAGATTAAATTGCGCACGAAAGTTTCCGAAAAATTTGGAACAAAATACTCATAATCGTCCCGGTACGTTCGTTTTCATTGAAGAAAATCTGGCAACGCCTCATGGTTCATACGGCGTTCTTCCTTAGCACGGCAGAATATGGAGCTTTCGTTTCGTATAGTATCGCTCGTACGATTGTAAAGTTTATTACATTAAGTTATTATAAAAATTGTTTTTCTTAAACAACATCATAGCTGATGTGGCAAAGATAGAGGTAAAAAATTACCGAACCTTATTTTTAAGTCGCTCCGGCAATAGAGCGTTCGGCAAGTGAAATTATCCACGGTTCTAAATGTTCTTATGGTTGAGAACACCCATACCTTTTCCTCACTTTCTAATTGTTGCCTTTCAGCCGTCGAGCCCTTTTCACCCTCCACCTCCGCCAGTGGCGTGGCGTGCTTTGCGATATATCGATTGTTATGCCATTTAAACCAATGGAAAACGATTGATAACCAGGGTGTTCGCAGCGAACACCTCAACAATCGATTCTTTATCATAGGTTTAAATAGCATAAAAATCGATACATCGCAATTCACGCCACGCCACTGCTTCACCTCCGCCCTTGAATTAGTATCGCAGCCTCCCCCTTTTCAGCCACCCTCGTCGTCGCCTCCGCCACTTGAGAGGTTGTCTAAATCTCCGCTTTTATTGTCAAATTAAACGGCAATTTGATCGGAGCCTGTCGCCCTCCGATTCAACCCTTTCAAGACATCCCGAAGAGTGGCGTGGCGTGCTTTGCGATTTATCGATTGATCTGTCATTTAAACTTATGGAAAAGGATCGATAAACAGAATGTTTACGACGAACACCTTAATAATTGATTCTTTACCACAGCTTCAAATGGGGAAATATCGATAATCGATCATTGACGCCTCGCTACTGATCCCGAGGGTCCATTCCTCTTCCGTGCATAGGAAAAACTACGCATGAGCATTCTAATTCTGCCAAATTTTCCCTGATAAAAAATGTATTTCGCCAGTAAGTTATGTATGTTTTTTCTTGAAATTTTTAGGCACTTTGAATTAAATCGCGAGCAAAATTTTCTGAAAAATTTGAACAAGGATAATTGCAATTTCCAATAAATATGTTTTCACTCAAAAGAAATTTAGCAACGCCAAAAGGTTCATATGGCGTTTCTCCTCAGCACGGTTTCAGGACGATCCGTCAACGATTTTTTGTCCCCGCACCTGTTTTGCACCGGTGGTTTACGTCCACGCATAAAAAAATAAGCAACAGCGACTTGGTCTAAGCATAACGTTTGGTTGCGCGACACCACACTGCAGCAGTAAAAGCAAAACATTTAAGAGAAAAACTTAGTGTGCTTTGGAAATCATTAAATTTCACACGAAACCACCTTAATTTTTACAAAACACACACTACATTTTACTTTCATTCATGTTTTTTCCATCAATTTAAATTAAAATAATCCATGCAAAGTGTGCGAAAATTGCGAAATAATGAGTGGAAAAAGCTGACTCCGCGAGTTTAAATATTACAGCTTAACACAGAGCGAAGCCGCGTGCTGCCAGCACAAAACGCGCACCGGCGCCTACAAACCTAACAGGGATACTTCACGCATTGCGCAATGCGTGAAGTATCCCTGTTAGGTTTGTAGGCGCCACTTTCGCGCTGTCCGGCCACCCGTCCACGGCGCCTCAAGCAACTATTTTACAACAGAGGTGTTGCACAGTATCATACGAAATTGAAGGCGCTCCAATATATTAAGAATGACATGCATCCTTCAAGAATACGGAGCTCTCCTCGCAAAATAAATCAAGATACTACGGCACAAAAAGAGAGCGGTTGTCCAAAAATATAAGCCTCTTTTCCTCCTTAAATAAGCATTATTTTCTTAATTGATTAATGAGAAAATCTTCTCGGCCGTAAATTTGAGCATATTTCTGCTTGAATCAAGTCATTTTTTCCTCTAATGGAGTTTAAAAATCACGCGTTTTGAATACAGATACTGGGACTTAGGAAGTTTTTCGACTACCGCTCTCTTTTGGTCAGCGTCACTCGATTTCATTTGCGAGGTGACTTCGTGCTTTTGAAAGATGCTATCAATTATGATACGTTGGGGTGCCTTCAATATCGTACGACATACACAGGAAAATTCTAAGAGCCTTTAGCTGAGGCAAATCAAAAGGTTTATCCAGTTCAGGTATAACAAGATGGGATTTTCTTGAAAGATTATTAATTCCTGTCGTACCAAAGAGGTGTAGAGAGTTTTAGTGGATTTATACCCTCTCCTTTTTTTGCCAAAAATTCTCAATTATATATTTTTCTCCGTTGGACCAAACAAACAAAAGAAATAAAAAAAACCCAAAAAAACAAGCAAACCCTCCCTTCCAAGACATGTTACATTTTCATTCGAAAACGTCGTGAGCAATTGTCGTTTGTATTTACATGTGAACCAATCAATTTGGGTCCCAATTGGTAGATGAACCAAAATTCCCCTGTCGAAAAAACTTGTGGACGTAAACTACTAGGGAAAACAAGTGCGCGGGCAAAAAATCGTAGACAAAATGTCCTATGACCGACAGCCCGGGAGTAAAAAAAATTGATTTTTTGATTGTTTCAGGTTTGGGTGGATGCTGCCACACAAGTTTTCTTCTCGCTTGGGCCTGGTTTCGGAGTTTTACTCGCTTATGCCTCCTACAACAAATACCACAATAATGTTTATCAGTGAGTATGGAGAAATTAAATAAAGAAATAGAAAGAGAGATAAAGGAACATCTCAAATAAGGCATTGTCTCCACGGGACGTTTTCATGGGATTTGTCCCAAGTTTGAATCGCAGGAATGAAACTTCTGGGATTTTTCCCAGTTACTGTGTCCACGGGACGAGGCTCATACAGTCCTGCGACTAGTTTGCGCGGGGAGATAAATTAGTTAAAGTCGAGTATTTAACTGGGATTAAAATAATAATTGTACTCAATTGACGATTAGACACGTTATTTTAACTAAACAAACATGAACAATGTAGTAATGAATAAAATATCGCACAATTCGTTTTCATTTCTTCTTCTTCTCTCAGTGGGTCCTAGGGATACAAGTACCATACTTGGTACTGGGAAAAATATTGATTAACTCAATATTTTTTCCAACTTCGTAAGTGGGATTTTTCCCTCGGACAAATCTCGTGAAACGGCTCGTGGAGACAAGGCCTTAAATTGAGAAAATTGTGGCACACAAGCAAGATGTCAAATTTTTGGCAATACGGATTTTTCATGCACTGCTCCGGTACGTCAAGCAACACTTGCGAAAAGGTGACTTGGTGTCCTTCTTCATAGGGCTTCATTGGCGGATCCAGCAAATTGGCAACATTGCTCTTCCTCCATTTAAAACTTTGGAAATGTATCGATTCTTAGAAGGGCTAGGTGCTCCGGGAAGAATCGATTATTTAGCATAGATTTAAATGAAGGAGATCCGGTGTTGCCAAATTTCTGGATCTTCCTCTGAAGGGCTTCGCACTGGAGCGTAGTTACGTTCAAATTGAGATGAGCCCGGAAAAGCACTGAATTGAATCGACGACAGGCAGTGGCAATTTTGCAAGTTATCAACAATGTTTTTCCTCCATTTTAATCTATTAAAAACATAGATTTTAAGTGAGGCAAGCTGTCTCATCAAGAATCAGCGTTTCACTTACATTCAAAAGGTTATTCAACTGGTTTTCCAACTGACTTGTCTACAGCATTGTGGTTTCCCAATAATAATAATAAATCGTTCTGTGAGAAAAGGGTTTCTTCAAGCAATCGTTAAATATACGCCTTGAAATGATGTTTTAGGAACTTTGGAGGGCATCGGTGGGCTACGGAAAATTGATAATGTGTCGTATTGCTACAGAATTTCAGGAGGATTCAGAAAATGGTGCTATGCGTAGTGATACAAGCAACCGTTCTCATGTTATGACCGGAAAAGCGATTTCGGGGCATCGCCCCCCCCCCCCGCAAAAAACATTCAAAGCTCCCACGCTATCGATGAGGACTTTTTTGGGGGGACTCCGGGGGTCATAAGGATTCACTGTGTCAAAAAGCAGCATTTTATTAAATTTATCTCTTAAGTGGCCAAAGTCGTTTAATTCCTGACGTAAGAGCCAATATAGCATTTTAAGCCGCGTCCGACATCCCGGATTTTAGATTTTTGAAAATTTGAGTTTAAAATAAAGTTCCCCGTCATAAAATACACTCTGCTACTAAGTTCCACAAAAATTGATCAAACAGGAGCCGTACATCGAAAGACTCTGTACGGTGGTAAACGGTGCAAGTGAATATGCGTACGATAGTGCGCCTTCAATTTTGTTTGATACTGTGCAACACTTCCGAGGTGGAATAGTTGCTCAGAGCGCCTTCAACAGTGCTGCGTCATCGGCTTGATGGCAGTGATTACGATTGCCGCTGAGATGACACTCTAGGTAGTCACACATTTTCTCGTCACCATTGATTAAGTAGCAGACATATATAGTATACCTCAATTTGCGACGTTGCAAGGTTTTAGCTGAAAAATACAAAAGTCTTAGCGAAGAGTTAAAATCACTTCGTCTAATTTTTAACCTCAGTTTTACCGTAATAATATAAAGCTCGCATAAGAGACCTCAAGTTGAAAACCTAAATTTACGATGTTGCAATTTTTTCATTGCCTATTTCGTGCGGATAAAGCAGTAAGAACTTTTAATTATTCGCCGTGATTTTTTCAAAATATGATGAAATTTCTTCTTCTTTTTTTCTGTTTAATTCAAGTCGATTTGTATGCTTTCGTTAAAAAGTACAGAGGAGGTACTTGCAAGAATTACAATTGGAGAGGGCATGTAGCCAAGTGATTCAATTTTCGCCTTGCCTGGTGTTCCATTGAAGAAGTATTTCGTATATAAACTAACTCGTATATAAACTTTCGTATAAACTCGAGCTCAGCGAACATCCCTCACACGAGGGCTCACCAAAAGGAAACAAAATGTGCTACGACGTCAAAATTTGGCATAGTGACTCTTCATAGCTGCTAGTCACATCTCTTAGCGGTAGAAACCGGATATTATCCACCGTTGCCAAGCTACAGCGAAATTCCGGTTTTTTGGGTCCCCCCTCGTATTTTCAGCATTTTCGGGTTAAAAAGTTAGGAAAATTCAACTTTCAACTAGGGCCCTAAAGGGACGGTTGATCATATTCATATATGTTACGTGTCTAGGTGTTCCTAACATCAAATTTGGTATTCATGACCCGTCTTATTTAGTCCCAGGTCGAAATTTGGGGTAGAACCTTGATAAACGAGAATTTTCAGCTATTTTGGGCCCCGGACCCATTTCTAGGCCCCTGTTTCGCAGCCAAAAAATATGAGTATCGGCGAAACTCGATTGCTTCTGTTACGTATGCATCGTCAACCGTCAAATATACAAAAATTTTCCGATTCCTTGGAGGGGCCGATTTCGGCCCAAATCGCAACCGCTCCTTTGACCTTATACGCTAAGTCGGATATTCTTTCATTCTATACATTTGAGTAAACTTGCCATTCTTATCTTGTCAATGTTCCCACAATATTGGTAGGATATTTATTTTACCTCTGGGACCAGCTTTGATCCCATGATTGTGGAAATGTTAAGCTCGGATCCCAAGATTGTGGGAATGTTAAGGGGAAAGGCCATAAAAAACAAGTGTCTAATGGTGACAATATTTATTAGAGCTAAAATATTTCTCAAGTTGTGTTTTACTCTGAAAAAAAAAAATCTTAAATTTGCCGCCAAGAAGTATTTCTCCTTAAATCAAGAATTTTGCTGGTTAATATAAGCTACTTTTTTGCTTAACCCGAGCATTATTTTTCTTGAATCAAGAAAAAGTCAGCTTAAAGCAAGATAAAGGAAATTTTTGGCAGCAAATTCAAGAATTATCATGCTGCTTATCCAAGCTACTTTTTTTTTCAGTGTACGATTGTTTTCAATTCGCCTTCAGCTACGTCCACAGCATTTGTTGTTGCGAGCATGTTGTTTTTCCTGATATCATAGCTCATTACATACTTGGCTCTTTGAGGGCGTTTTATGTGCGAAAGTAAAGCACCCTGTTGGAGTGCAACAGAAAGTAAAATTGGATAAATCGCTCAATTCCTACTTCGTTTGTTCTCCAACAGATTGCGCTACTTGCGCCCATAAAACGCCTTCAAAAAGCCGAGTATGTAATGATATAAAATCAGCACGCACAACATGTTCGTAACAACAATTGCTGCAAACGCAGCTGAAGGCGAATTGCTTTCGCACATAAAATGCCTTCAGAGAGTTAAGTATGTAATAAGGTGAAATCAGTACGCACAACATATTCGCAATAACAATTGCTGCAGATGCAGCAGAAGGCGCATTGGCTTTCATCATAGATTTTGCTTGTTTGCTCATGAAGGATAAAAGTATTACAGGAGGAAATTAACAGTACCCATAGGCGGATCCGGGTGAACCGTAGGGGGCTGGCGCCCCTCCCTCCGTCCATCCTAAAAGAAGGAAAGGCAGAAAAAGAGGAAGAAACGGGGGAAAAAGGGGGACAGACACTTGGATCGCATTAAGCAAAAAGGAACCAGCGCGATTACAGTGTTTTCAAAATCGTGCAACGTCTTCTCTTCTTTTAAAAATACTCAAGATATGTGCAGTATTATTATTTACACAACTAAATTCCTTTAAAATGAACAATTTTTTGGTGAAAAGCAAAAACTCTTTGCTATTCCGGGAGATTTTTTAGATAATTATGAAGAATCAATATTTTATCAACAGTGTAATCGCGATGGTTTCTTTTTTCTGAATGCGATTCACTTGTATTAAGATGCTCATGCATGAAAAATTGACTCAAACCACATGATAGATGCTTTAAAATTTCGACAATGAAGATGTTGCATGTGTGAGGAATTAGCGAATTGACTGTTGATTCTTATGCGGATTGCATTTTGCAAAAAGGAACCACTAGCATTGCAATGTTGCTAAGATTGTGCAACTTCTTTTGTCTTGGGGGAAAAACCCGATTATCCATTAATATAGTTTCTATTTTACTCGCTAAAAACTGTAAATTTAAGACAAAATTACCATATAAATTTCATAGTTTTTCACGATTTCCGCAATTTTATTGCAAAATATGAAGTTGCACAATCTTAGCATCATTGCAATGCTAGTGGTTCCATTTTGCAAAGTGCAATCCATGTAAAAGTTCACGAGAGACACAATGGTGCCGCTGGTTTTCTCCAAAATCGACTCCCAAGCTCAAAAAAAGCTCTCAAGTTGAGGCCAAAATGGAGGGGATATCCCACGGTATCCTGAGAGTCCACGTGTACATCAAGACAAACTTTCCATTCAAAAATAGAGAACAAATACATTAGCAGAGTTGTCGTGTTTTTAGTTTTGGAGTCCCCAATTAAAGTGGCAGCCCTGTCAATGTATTTGCTCCCTATCTTTGCATGGAGAGTTTATCGCTTGATGTAGAGGTGGACTCTCAGGATAGTGTGGGATATCCCCTCCATTTTGGCCTCAGTTTGAGAGCTTTTTTTGAGCTCGGGAGTTGATTTCAGAGAAAACCAGTGGCACCGTCGTGTTTCTCGCGAACTTTTACGTAAGAATCAACAGTCAAATTGCGAATCCCTCACAAATGCAACATCTTCATTCATGAGGGGGAAAAAATTTGCTGAAAAATTTGCTACATCCCGGATGTTAAAAATCTGCGCGACAACTCTTGAATGTTGATATGTGATATGTGTTGTGTGACGTCGTGTTTCTCGCGAACTTTTATGGAAGAGTCAATGGTCAAATCGTAAATTCCTCACACATGCAACATCTCCATTGTTTGTGGTAGCCGCCCGGACCCCCTTACGCCCTCTTTCGAGATGTCTGGATCCGCCTATGACAGTGCGAGAAGCGATATTTTTAATTTCACGGATCGGCTTTCACACTACCTTATATGTAACAACCCTTATTATTTTCCAGAGACGCGTTACTGACGAGCCTAATAAATTCGTGCACAAGTTTTGTCTCTGGATTCGTCATCTTCTCCGTGTTGGGATACATGGCCCACACCTCCGGGCAGCCGATCCAGAAGGTGGCGCGGGAAGGGCCTGGTCTCGTTTTCATCGTCTACCCAGCAGCCATTGCCACCATGCCCGGCTCCATTTTCTTCTCCCTTCTCTTCTTCATGATGCTCCTCACCCTTGGATTGGATAGCTCGGTGAGTAAAAAGATTTTTGCTGGGCAGTGATGTCGACAGTGTAAGATACGGCGTGACATTGCATCCACCTGCGATGCATCCACCCCTATGTAACTTCCTAATCTAACCTAATCTAACCTAATTAAACCTAACCTAACCTAACCTAACCTAACCTGACCCAACCTAACCTGACCCAACCTAACCTAACCCAACCTTAACCTAACCTAACCTGACACAACCTAACCTAACCTAACGACTGGGTGGATGCATCGCAGGTGGATGCAACGTCCTCAGCCCGGTGTGAGTCGGCAATCACATAACGACGGTGTAAGTCGGCAATCACATAACTCGTCAGCGGTGTCTGAAAATCTCCGCCGCAATGTTAATTTTTAAAGGAGAACAAATTGACATCATTCCTTGAAGTTTGTGCAGAATTTTCTTCGCATAGAGAAGGAAAATCAAGGCAGTTTTGAAGAATTGCTGTTGAGTAGTTTTCGGTGTAAAAAATAAAGTATGGCAAGAAGTCTGCGACGTCGCAAACCGAGTTATGTGATTGCCGACTTACACCGTCGATAACTCATTTGCGGTGTCTGAAAATCTCCGCCTCTATGTTATTTTTTTTTTTTAGGAGAGCGAATCGACATCATTACTTGAAGTTTTTGTAGAATTTTCTTTGCACGGAGAAGAAAAATCAAAGCAGTTTTAAAGAGTTGCCGTTGAGTAGCTCTCCGTTTAAAATATAAAGTATGACAGGAAGTCTGCGAAGTCGCAAACCGAATTATGTGATTGCCGACTTACAGCGTCGATGTGCGATTCCTTTGACTATATATTGATGGCAAAAATGCGAAACCACGTATATCCACTAAGGTTCAAAAGTTCCGCTCCAAGTTTATTTTTTGGGAGAAAAATAAGCTAACTCTAAGAATGTTCTGCTAATAGTGAAGAAAAACCACAGAAGTTTTCAAAAAGTTAGGTCGAGAAGTTTTCCAGGAAACAAATAGAGAATTACAAGAAGTCTGCAGTATAACAGACGGAGATACGTGGTTTGACCATCGATATAAGTTAATCCTAAATATTTTCTCACTTTCTGACTCTGAGTTAATGCCAATATTGTCATTGTTATAAACTTAAGCTTTTCCCATCAAAATATAGCATTTTAACCACACTTCTACTAACTTCTTCTGTATTAATATCATGGTTCCTCGTAGAAGGGGCAACGCTTGGGGAGGCTCTTTCCAGTGCCTACATTGTCCTTACGCCTCTTGGAAATTCAAAAAGAAAACACGTTCTATACGTTGTCAAACCTTGACCTTTCTAGTGGTCCAATCTGTAACGTAATTTGATAAGTCTGTCATTTAACACAATAATTAATATGATATGAGGGCAAACGGCTAGATGCAACTATTCGCACTCGATGGATGACTGGGTTGCATATGAAAAACATGAAGGCGCGCTGGTTTTTTCCTACACTCGCAGCAATAGACGATATTCGAATGAAGTGTCGACATTTTCTGGTTCTTAAAAGGTCTTCTTTCATTATTTTGACTTATCACTTCCATTGACGATTTATTCAAGCTGTTGTCAGTTCATAGCGTTGGTTTTTTTTCAGTTTGGTGGTTCTGAAGCAATCATAACGGCACTGAGCGACGAATTTCCATTGATCGGCCGGAACCGGGAAATTTTTGTAGCCATTCTGTTTTCTATTTACTTTCTTGTTGGATTAGTTTCTTGCTCTCAGGTAATCCTTTAAAACGTATTTTTTTTTTTGCATTTATCTTCGTATTTTGTATGAATCATGTGGATGAGGAATATTTGGAATTTTGAAGGAAACTCGGTAAAATGCTTTGTACTCCAAATGAATTATGAATACGAAAGAGGTATACAAAGAAAGTAATGATCAAAGCAAAAATAAGAAGTAATTTTTTAATCCCATCGTTGAATCGTGAAAATTGTTTCAGGGATGGATTCGCTTCAAATCTGGGTAAAAACCATTGTCGTTTTTAAAGTACGTGAAGCATCCATATAATTATCTATAAAATTGCAAAAATTGTAAAAATAACTTACCAAAATGCAAGTGGACCGAGTTTATCAGAGAGGAACTAACCCACAACTTCTCGAAAGAAAAATAAAATTTCTAAGGAAGTCTGCGACGTCGCAAATGGAGAAACGTACCGTCTCTCATTTTGCCCAAAAATATGAATGTATGAAAGTGAAGACATTATGACTGGCCTCTCTCAACTTATATTCCTCTGTAACGATAAACAATGGGACGCGTTCGCTACGGCGCCGTGATACAACTATATATACTCGACGGATGTCGTATTGCGTTCCAAAATTTGAAGGCGTTTTGACTTGCTACGCATAATACCTGCAGTTGATTTGATCGACAAACGCGTCGGTCGGCGGTGACGGGGACTTGATGCATTTTTTTAAACTTGATTGATGTCCGTATATTGTCCGACTGAAGTGCGAAACCACGTATCTCCATTGCGGTGTTTCAAAATTTCCGTTCTTAATTCATCTCTTCCATGAGAAACAATCCAAAAATAGATACCCAGATTGCCCAACGATTAATTGAATGTTCAAATGTTTTTTTCCTTTATTTTGCCATAATGTGTGCGTTTCTGTCGTATTTTCATTACTCCCTAGAGATACATTAATCCTCAACAATTTCTTTCTTAATTTTAGCTATTTTTATTTGTCTGCAGGGTGGAGTTTATTTCTTCAGTTTGTTAGAGCACTACGCAGCAACATATTCAATATTGTTCGCAGTTCTGTGCGAGTCATTGGCAGTATCGTGGATTTATGGTAGGTCATAGGACATTTTGTCAACGACGTTTTGTCCGCGCACCTGTCTTTTCTGGTAGTTTACGCCGACATATTTTTTCGGCAGGGGAGTTTAGTCCACCTACCAAATGAGACCTAAAGTTCATTTGTCCACATGTAAATACAAACCACAATTGCTCACGGCGTTTTTGAATGAGAATAAAAAATGTCTTGGAACTATGAGGGGTTGCTTCTTTTTTTGTTTGTTTGGTCCAACGGAGAAAAATTATATATTTGAGATTTTTGGCAAAAATGGGGGAGCGTCAATTCCATGAGGGAAAATTCACTAAAACTCTCTACACCTCTTTGGTACAACGGGATTCGATTATCTTTCAATAAAATTATAGCTAGTTATATCTGGACCGAATGAACCTTTTGATTTGCCTCAGCTAAAGGCTCTTAGATTTTTCCCATGTACAATAATTTCGCGACAGCGTCAGCGTGTCGCGGCACTTCGAGCTACTATTTCACCAAGGAGGTGTTGCCTTCGAGCTACTATTTAGCCAGTTGTTGCACAGTATCATACGAGATTGAAGGCATCCTAACGTATCAACATTAATGGCATCTTTCAAAAGCACGAAGTTCCCTCGCAAATTAAATCGAGCGACGATTACAAAAAGAGAGCGGTAGTCGAAAAACTTACTGAGTCCTAGTACCTGCATTAAATAACGTTTAGCATGATTTTTGAACTTCATTAGAGGAAAATGTGACTGTATTCAAGCAGAAATATGCTCAAATACTGCCAAGGAGATTTCCTTATAAATCAATGAAGAAATTAATGCTTGTTTTAAGAAGAAAAGATGCTATAAAAAGAAAAGTCACCTATATCCAGCAGAAATCCGCATTCATTAAGCTATTTTATTTTTGATCAAAATTAAATCTTCTTGGTGGCATACTCAGGCATGTTTCTGCCTAAATCGAGTCAATTTTTTCTGTATAATGAAATTAAAAATTATGCTAAACGTCATTAAACATGGATGCGAGAATGCTAGGACTTAGTGAGTTTTCGGACTACCGCTCTCTATTTCTGCCGCAGTATCTTGATTTATTTTGCGAGGAAAGCTCCGTAATCTTAAATGATGCCTGTCATTCTTAATATGTTGGAGCGCCTTCAATTTCGTATGATACTGTGCAACACCTCTGTTGTGAAATAGTTGCTTGAGGCGCCGTGGACGGGCGGGCGGACGAAAGTGGCGCCTACAAACCTAACAGGTATACAACACGCTTTGCGCAATGCGTGAAGTATTCCTGTTAGGTTTGTAGGAGCCGGTGCCCGTTTTGGGCCGGCAGCACGCGGCTCCGCAGTCCGCTCTGTGTTGAGCTCTAATATTTAAACTCGCGGAGTCAGCGTTTTCCACTCATCATTTTGAAATGATTGCACACTCTGCATGGAATATTCTCATTTAAATTGAAGAAAAAATGTGTGTTAAGGTAAAATATAATAATATTTGTAATATTGAATGTAATATTTGAATAATATTTGTAAAAATTAAGGGGGTTCCGTGTCAAATTTAATGATTTCCAAAGCACTGTAATTTATTTTCTTTTATATTTTATGATTTTACTGTGCTGCAAAATGGTGTGCGCGCAACCAAACGCTCAAAATTGGACTATTTGACTCTAATAGAAACATATAAAAATTGGTTAAACCCAAAATTTGAGAGCTTCTTGGTTCTCTTTTCCTCTTTTATTCATTTTTGTACAGTTTCTTTCAACACAAGTACGGCTCATTGAGATTAATATAAATGACGTAGCTTAGGAAAGGTTTTACAAATATTTGCCACGTTTTAAAATGTAAATGTTTTTAAAATGAAGAAATATTTGTTCCATATAATTTTATATTCGGACTAAAATATTATGCTTGGACCAAGTCACTGTTGCTTATTTTATGCGTGGACGTAAACTACTGGACCAGACAGGTGCGCTGACAAAAAATCGTTAACGGAATGTCCTGAACAATTATATCAGAGCTAATATTGCGTTTAAATAAACTATCATTGTGAAATTTCTAAGGGCTCAGTGGACTTTTTATCAGCTAAAATTAATCCCGTTTGGACATCATTTTTAAAATTGCAGCGAACTTGACGTTTGGGCAAATGTTGTTGTCTTCATTTCTAAGAAAATTCAGTAAAATTTCTTGAGTTGGGCATTTCTTCAAGCGACTCGAATATAAATTTATAGCTATCGGATTTTTACCATCCTATTAAAAGCTTCATTTTGGATTGCATATTTTAGGCTTTGAGTAAGTGTCACTAGACATTCTACGATGTTAAGCAATAATAATAAGACAGCATTTAGTTTGTGAAAATTTTGATCATACTTCTGATTGAGCACCAACACCAACAGTTAAAGAATTTGACCTCTAACGTGAGGCGATACACAAAAAATAATTTCAACCTATAATTTTGGCTAACTTGTAAGTGCGTGCCACATAAAGTTAGCAACCAGGTTTAAATTTTTTGGGACCTTATCGTCAACATCAAATTTTACCATGAGCTATTGCGTAACCTATGTAAGGATGATAATTGAACTACATTTTACATTAAGGGACTACATCCCCAGCTTATTTGAGAAACCATGTATGTGCCTTTAGTTATCCTAATGGGATAGGCGAGTTCATGATTTGCCAGAAATAGCAGTTGTCTATTGCAAAATGTAGTCACATTTGTTTTAAAATAACCCTGGGTTTAAAAGTGTAGTGTTTTATTTCAAAAGTTCAGTTCTCCAAAAGAGGAACCACTTTTCTATCAATAAATTTGTGAGTTTTTCTGACGTTATTTTTAGGGACGCAGCGATTCAGTGATGACATAAAGGACATGATTGGTTTTTCACCCGGTCTGTATTGGAAAATTTGCTGGCGATTTGTAGCGCCAATTTTTATAACGGTTTGTTCAACATTTACTATTAGCGAATGTATATTGACATATGATTTGTTTGAACTGAGAGATAACTAATTTTTTGCATTGATTTTCGTTTTAGACAAAGAACTTCTTATATCAGAGAGAAAATACTTTATTTTCTTACTAAAATTATTGCACGATAAAAAACTAAACTATATCGTTCTGTCCGACTTGATCGACCTGATTTTCTTCAATCAATGTATTTAATTTCAAAAATTTGGAGTGGATATTCGTCTAGTTGAAAAAATGTAGATTTTCTAAAGGTTTTGCGTAGGATTTCCGATAAAAAAAAAAAAATGTTTGACATAAGTACCAAATATGACACAGAATAAAACTCTTTTATGCCATGGTATGAACCTCACCGGACCCTTTTGATTGACAAAAATTCTAATATACTTTCTTTGTTTCCTTCTTAGTTCATTATTGTCTATGGTTTTATGGCCTTGGATACATTTAGTTACGAGAACTACATTTACCCTGGATGGGCAAATTTGATTGGATGGTCAATAGCGGGGTCAAGTATAGCCATGATTCCCGGCATGGCGTTGTATCAGTTTTTAATAACTCCTGGATCATGTGCGCAGGTGCGTATTATAAAAAAATGTTCAGCTGTATAACAAAAATACCTTTTTTGTAAATTGAGCATTGCAGGCATTGTGCAGGAAGAAGCTAATCGATCTCTTTCGGAAAATTAAGATCTGCTGTTAATGTGCGGTACGGCGGTTTACCTTTCGACTTTTTCACCCCATTTTTTCCGCTTTGAGGAAATCATCAAATAAACATAAAAATGCTTACTGATCCCTTTAAGGAGTATGAAATTCTTTTTTTACTCATTTTATACAATATGGATTTGAGCCAGACCGATAAATGAACCACATTAACAGGGAGGAACTAAGTCATATCACCTATTGCTAAATTAATCGGACAGTTCAATTTTTGACATGAAAATGGTTGTGCGAATTTTTGTGCAAATTCAATGAACTTCCTCCATTGCATGAAGCAAATTGCTTAACAATCTAAAAGGAATCTGCAAAAACGCTCTCTTGTAAAAAATTAATCTGCCCAGTTAAATTTGGCAATAGCAGATATGGCTTGGTTCCTCGCTCATCTGCTAAACACGATCCAAATATTGATTATGTATGTCAAAGACGCTTTTACGGCGCGCCAGGGCGCTCTGTAACGCCTAAGCGCCACAGGAATCTGTCTTGGTAGAGATCCTCCGGAAGCTGGCATCTCCCGCATCTCTCCATCACGCCATATTGATTATACTTTGTGATATTTCAGAGGCTGAAAATATTGATAACTCCGTGGAGGGACCACCAAACCGTTCTAGCACGACCGATGTCCTTGAACGGAATTGAAAGTGACTCTGCTCAAATACGTTTGACCAGCCCGCAGGCTACGGATTCTGTTTAATCGAGTAAAAAAACACCACTACTTTGTCGGAAAAACGTCATCGCTGCAAAATTGAATCCTTCTTCTTGGTTCGAAGGAAAGGTTTGTAAGGGACTCATCCATCCCTGAAGAGGAGATTAGATACAGTGATATAATTTTTAGTAAAAAGTATTACGTCACTTAGAAATTCTACATTGGTCAAATCGAGCCCGATTTAGGTGATCGATCCCGGACGAAGTGACGAAATACCACTGAAATAGAAAACGCACCACAGTTGCATTAATGGTGGCTGAATTGATAATTTCCACAGAGACATAGCTATTTCTAAATTATTCGGATACCAGTAATTTATAAGTTCAAATTTTAACGTTAGTAAAGGCATTCCTCATTTAAAAGTCTGAGACCTGTAATCACTAAAAGCATGCAGCTTTGAAATCCAATTGTGTGTCTCTTCAGAATGTTTAATTTTAGTCAAGCTTCAATGAAAAGCCCCAGGTTCCCTAGAAAGGGGCCACAATTTTTTTTTTAAAAAAAGCTCTCTTAGTGCAGTCGATAATCCAACAGACTGGACTCCAATTTCATACGCGTGCAGTGTCCAAAAATTTAACTCCTAGACTCAGTTCGTTCGTCTTTTGATCGCCTAACAAGGCCGAGACTTAAAAATGTCTGAAAAACATGAGAAATACAAATGAATCTCTCATGTTTCCATTAATATTAAATGTTCTGTTAAGATTTGAATTGAAATGTTAAATGTAAAATGTTGGTCCCTAGGGCTTGAGTGCAAGGAGTACAAAAATTCTGTGGAGCTGGGTCAGTTTGCTGTGGACACTTGGGTGGAAACGGGTCAGTTGTGCCAGTAACAGAAGGGCTTGATACTTGATTCTTGCCGATTAGCTAAAGATAATAAGATATGTCCAAACAGCAACTTTCTACGTTCAATATCAACAGACATATTGCGCTTTGAAAAATTCAGTTTATGACGTTATCTACCGCGGTAGTGGCACCCTTGGTTTCTTCCACCTTGCTTTCATCAATCAGTGAGACACACATTTGCAGTGGGTGACTCAACGTGAAACTCGGATAAAAGCAAGGTGGATGAAACCAAAGGTGTCACTCCCGCAGTGGATGACGTCATAAACCGAATTTTCCAGTGTTAAATCTCGATTACTACTGAACGCAGAGAGTTGTTGTTTGGACAGATCTTATTATTTTTAGCTAATCTATAAGAATCCAGAATCAAAGCACGATTCTTTGACCAACGCAACTGACCCATTGAAGGCCGTTAAATTGGTTTTATGTGGAACTGAAGAATCAAACCTTGGAGTGCGTGTGATTTCTGTTTTTGGAATCTCAACAGAAACCTCCTTGGTTATTTTAATAGATTTCTGATAGATGAGTGATGGAACGAATGTTTGAGAGGAACGATAGGAATTTTAATAGTATCGATTAAATTGAATGTAAAATATTGTAGAGTCGTACATTTATCTTCGAATATTGGGTCTCTTAGACCTTTGTTTTAGTTATTAAATGTTTCTATGTAGAGAAACGCAGCTGTTCGGATAATACTCAACGGGTGTAGTCCTGTCTTTAGTCTTAAATAGGCTACTCCACATTTGTATTGGAAAAGGTTCCGTAAAAGTCCACGTTTTTGGTGAACATGAGCATTTTGAAGAGAATTATCACTGGAAAGCCCTGTTTCAAATGCATGCAAGGTTGCTCCAGAGATCTTCACATTAAATCGACTTTTTTTTCCTTTTTTTTAAATTATTATAAATTTTAAATCTAGTTCTTCTTCAAATAAGATTTGGTAGGTCTTTGGTAGGATCTTTTATAAGAGACCTAACTTTCGAAAACTGAATTTTTCCTGAAATACGTACAGATTTTAAAAGACAGTAAAAATATCATATTTTGAGTTGGCATGAATCATTCCACAGAGGCCGACTTTAAACTCTGTGCTGCGCTACCCTTTATACCAAAACTTTTGCGTAAAAATATTTATGAGCGAACGAAACTTTTTTAAGTAAAATCACGTGCAAAATATAATCATGTATTTAAACCCTCCCCCTTTATAAATTTCAGCGCCTCGCCCATCAAAAATATATTGTATTTTTAGGGACTTTTTTCTCCCTATTATTGCCGAATATTTGAGAAATATTCCAAAATTTCTCAAGTTCTAATTTTCCCTGAAAATGCAGTTGAATTTGGAGAACAGATTTAATATCCTGATATTTACTTGGTTATACCTCCTAACGTGAATCTATCCAGATATGATGGGAAAAGGAATTTAAATTGAGCCGAAATAGTGGAAAAATTGTTCATTTCTTCAAGAGGTCATCGGATTAGTTTTGGGTGTAGAAGAAAATATTAGTAGACACAGGCAGTTGATAGAGAAAGAAACAATTTATAAGTGTAAAGTTGACATAGATCCACGTTTGATTGTTTGAAATCTGCTATATTATTTTCATGATCAAAATGCTCATAGTTTGACTATATTACGGTGATAATTGCGTTAACTGATTTCCAGCAACTAATGCATTTTTTCGTTCGAATTTTTTTAAGGTGTTAGACTTTGTATTAAATGTGTAAATTCTGTAGAGTTTTTTGAACACATATTGTATATTAACCCTAGCTTATTTCTATTTTTTATGCAGCGGTTGTACAAATTCGACTGACTATCTTGACCAAACAATTTATCGATATTATCTGTGCATACTTAATTTATTTACTCTTTTCTTTTTTATTGATTGAAGCATTCCCTCATTGATGAATTTGTTTCTAGTAGGTAATGGTTGTAGAAGACTTTTAAGTGAATGTATTTTAAAAAAAAAAAACGTGTAAAGTTTAGCGATCAAAGTCAGCCATTTTGATCCCTAGACTTTGCATTCACTCTTTATATGTAAGTTGAATATTTGTTTCTTCCACATACTTAAGTAAGCTTATATTCTTTAAAACTATTATTTACGTTGCCCAATTATTGTTGTTATAATTTTACTAAGCAACTGCATTTGGAAAAAAAGTACGCTCAATAAGTTAAATGATGTACAGAAACATTAGCTTTGTTATTCTGCTTCATTAGGTATAATGATTTTCAAAAGATTCATAAATAAAATCAAGCTATTATTCTCTTCAAAGACAGCCACTTTGAAATTTTGGCTTGGATTTTACTAGATTCTTGTTTTATTTCATTCATTTTCTTGATGAACGAGAACAAAGTGGTCTCATTGCGTTCTCAAAATTGTAAAAATGTCATAGCAATTTTTAATTTTAGGTTTGTCTCCAAGACTATGATATAAAACTGATAAGGGAACTCTCGTTTTGGACGATCTTCAAAATTCTGGGATGAACTGGGAAAAACTTGAATGAACAAAATCCCTTATAACAGAGAATGTATTAAACATGAATTCAAGAGCGTTCCTCGCTGGAAGTGATTTACTGCGGTAGTAAAAAAGTGACAGTTCTGAATTGCGTGATTCTTTTGTAATAATAGAATGATATTCGTAGGAACACTTTCTTCATGGTAACCCTTCGGACATCCGATTTTTTTAAAAACAGCACAAGCTCATCCTTGGATAATCTCCGCAGTGTATTCTCACTTGCGAATATACAAGTTTCTTGCTCAGCCATATTATGCGGAAAAAGGTAGCATGAAAATGTTCATGTTGCCAAATCTATTCTTATAAAATACAAATTCATTGAACAATATTGCGCATCTACCCATGAAATTTTCAAAAAATTTTATGCTCAGTTTAATCTTGTTTACCAAAAAATTTTCTGGAAAACTTTCGATGAGTTTTTTTTTAAATTATTAATATTCTTCATTTACAACAATATGACATCATCTAATGCTCGTGCAACGTTTCCTCTCGACACAGCAAAGATTCCAATTCATGAAAGAACTATAATATTTTGACAAAAGGAACATAAAGCCATTTTCCGATGAATCAATGACTCGTAAAATTATGAGCTCAAGTCGATGTTGAAACTACAAAAACGCGTACCTCAGTCGAGAAGTCTCGAAATTTTATTTTCTCAAGGAAAACAAAACAGCACTACACTGGAAAAAAAAAAAAAAAACACATTGGATCTAGAGTCCAGACTCTTGAAAACATTGACAAGAAAAAATACTTTTGATTCAATCAGATTTTTGCTTAAATCAAAAGGAAATCCGCTCAAATTAAGAGGCTTGGTTCTTGATTTAAGCAAAAGTCCGATTAAATCAAGAGTATTTTTTCTTGTCAATGTTTTTAAAAGAGTCTGGACTCTAGATTCAATGTGTTTTTTTTCCGGTGTATATACGATTGCTTGAAAATTTCACAGAATATTCTTCACACAGAGAGGAAAATTCAGAAAAATTTCTCAGAAATGACATTCAACACTTTTCCATTTAATTAATAAATTATGGCAGGCAGTCGCAACGTTGCAAATTGAGTTACGCATTTTTGCAGTTCCACTGTCGATGTGTCACTCTCGCTGGAAGTGATTTACAGCGGCGGCAATGAAAATGACAGCCCTGAAAAGCGCGAAAAGTGAAAACTCAAAACAGTAACAACAGCCGGGATGACAAAGGAGGAAAATTTGACGCCGCATAGAGGAGTCTATTTATTATCCGCTTTGCGCGCTTTATATAGTTTTTGGGGCGGCGCCAAAAATTTTGACCAGAGCCGATGGGAGTCTCCGGCGTCTGGTCAAACGTAAGATCGAGAGGTTTTCGGTCGTAGGTCCGCGGGATTTTCGTCCGATTCGGGGTTATTTCGACGTGATTGAGTGAAATTTTCCGCGGAAGTGCTGTTATGAAGTGATTTTTGTGCTGCGGGTTTGTTGTGCGATGGGTGATCTTGATACGCTATTCGACTATGAGCAGCAGTACGCTGAATTTGCAGCAGGTGAGTGTTTATCTGGACATATTTATGTTAAAAGGAACTATGTGCATAGGGTTTGCGTGAGAGATAGTTCCTTTTGGCATAATTACGTTTATTTTTGAGTCATTGTTTCCTAGGCGAAAGAAAGTAACTCAATTTGGAAGTTACAAAATTGACTTGAATAATTCAATTTTTACGAAAATATGACTGCGGGATTTTTGCTAAAAATGTTGGTACTTGAGTGGAATCGGAAGAAAAATCGGTAGAATGTTCAGCTAGAAATGCCTAATATAATCTTTCTAGAATTAAATTGTGCAAAATGAGCCTTATTTGGAGATGAAATGGACCGCGTTAAACAGAGAGGAACAAAGCCACATCAGCTTTTGCCAACTTTAACTGGGCAATTTAATTTTTTACATGAAAACGGTTGTGCGGATTTTCGTGCAAATATCAGTGAAAATTTGCCATGATATGAAGCAAATTCCTCAACATTTTCAAAGAAATCCGATCAAACGTTCTCTCGTAAAAAAATTAATTGCCCAGTTAAACTGGGCAATTGCTGATGTGGCTTGGTTCCTTTCTGTTTAACGCGGTCCAAATGTAATTAGAAGGAAAAAACTGAAATTTTGTGACAATGAACACAGTATGATATCGAATATAACTGTAATTTTCAGTTAGAAAAATACAATAGTTTTTACAATGTGTGAGTGAATATTTTGCAACATGGAAATGTAGTCATGTTCTTCCGTCTGGGGAATGACGCATTGAACCATACTCTACAGACTGAAGCGCCAGAAACCTTACTGTTTACTAACTTTACTTTTAGTCTGTTATTTATTGAATTTTACGCAAATAATACTGAATTTGATAAATATATTACCCAGCTCTTAGTAGATTTTTAACGTATTTTTATTATTTCTAGTCAGTAAGTCACCTAATATTGCATTATGCACAAATAAATGATTTGCATAAATTTGCGGAAATAAAAATGGAAGAAAACATGCGGAGATGCAATGAATTTTTGAGACGGATCTGCGCAAAAAGTTTCGAGGAGTGAGTGCGCAGTTGGTACGTGAATGTCCGGCTCACTTTTTCTATAGCGTGATTTATTTTTAAACATCAGCTGTGCTGTGTCAGCTCAGCTACGGTGCATCAGTTCAGAGTCTATTACATGGCAGGTTGAATGCTCTTATGAACTTTTAGATATAGAGGTGTCGTGTATTTTCCAAAATATTTTTTGTATCAAGCATTGACATTAGGTATCAATTTCGAAATTTGAAAAATCATGCAAATTGATATCCTCCACTTGTCAGTAAAATATGGTTTAAACCAGCCAAATAATGAACAGACATCGTTATGTGACTAAATTTTTTATAAAGCAGGACTGTCAGTCAAATCCAATCAATATAATCATATTGATTGGATTTGTAGGAATAATAGAATTAGGAAACTTGGACTCAAACATTGTCTCAAAAATAAATATTTTACCGTGGGAAATTTTGCAACGTACCATCGATAATACGGCGCTTTTTGTTGACACTTCAGACTTGCCTTCTTGATGACCGTAACTTGTGGTTGCTCAAAAACAAAAACAAAATAAAATAAAATAATAAAATAAAAAAACACAAATGCAATCATTCCACGTTGTCGTCCTCCCCGCGAAGGAACGTATCTTAATTTGAAGATTGCCTCTCTCATCGCAAATTGCATTCACACTAGGAGAGTTTAGGACATTCTTCGCTAAAAATTTCACTGATTTTTCTACTGATCTCGGGTTAAAATCAGGAAAATTTTAGACAATAATTGGACAGGTACTTCCTTGTCAAAAATTGCATCGCTTGAGTCAGTTTTGCAACCTTGTGAAGGAGTGACGTTTTTTTGTGCGGGGAACGACGATTTATGATGCGCATTTCTGTTTTGTGTTGAGTAGTACTAACAGCTACAGCCTGTGTCACACTATCAAAATACTTCATCAAAATATCAAGGTCAAGTGCTTTGATTGGTCCAAGTCATCGAATAAGCCAATCAAAACACCTGACCTCGATATTTTGATGGCTAGCTTTGATAGTGTGACACAGGCTAATGATTTATGGTGATTCATCAAGCTCAAGTGACGTGGTCGAACTGAATGGTTGATATATCGCATCGATTAAGTAAAAAATCTCTGAATTTTGAATTTTTAGCAAAAAAAGGACGATAGCCCCTGCGCAAAAGCCTAAAGAATCATTCTAAACCCAGAAATCGGCAAAATTCAGAGAAATGAAAGCAGAATAGTGTTTGGAAAAAAACCTCGCATTCGACACAGAAATCGATAGCTGAATTGAATGCGAGATATTTTTTCAAACACTATTCTGCTTTCATTTCTCTGAATTTTGCCGATTTTTGGATTTAGAACGCGATTCTTTAGGCTCATGCGCAGTTCGACCACTTCCTTTAAGCTTGACGAATCACCTTAAATGTATCAATTTTGAGTCCTATCTGAGAAGGTGCTCATACCCATCTCCTTGTCTTGCAAGAAACAACTGTCTGATTTTGTTCAGTTTTTCAGCTGAAGAGGCCAAAACATGGGAGAAGGAGGAACACGAGAGGCTCCGGAGAGAGGGACTCGCTCGGGAGAAAGAAGAGGACTTCGAGCCAAGCGATTGGGACAAGCTGCCGGATTTGGTTCTAGAGAGAATATTCTCCTACCTGACCGTCAAGGAGAAGTACAACGCATCCCAAGTTTGCAGGAACTGGTACCACGCCTTCTACTACCCCGAATCTTGGTCCACTTTCAAATTCGAAGACACTACTCTCACGCGAAGACGGTTCAATTATTATTCCGGATGGCAGGTATGACTCCCCATAAAAACAGGATGAAAGCACTCCTTGTTATGTGCTGGTTACACGCTCCATCAATTTCCGATCAAATGGTGACTGCACTAAAAAAAAAATCTCGGTGTATTTACTAAGAAAAAGGTAAAATTACCAAGAATTCAGGGTTTTATTTGATCCCAGTTTTTTCTTGGTAAAATTACCATTTATGGAATTGGTAATTTTACCGAGAAATCTCGGTAAAATTATCGACTTTCTCGGTAATTTTACTGGACCCCGGTAAAAACGCCAATATTTTTTATCGACTGTGGTAGAATTACCGAGATAAAATGGCAAGGTTACCGGAAATTGATTACCAATAAAAGTGGTATTCTTACCTGAAAAAATCAGTAAAAATAAAACAGTAGGTAAGCTTACCAGTCCATATTGGTAAGATTACCAACAATTGGTAAACTAATGAGATGGTAAAGGTACCAACGGAACTTGGTAAAAACGCCGAGAATTTTTTTTCAGTGGCATAAAAACAGGATGAAAGCACTCCTTGTTAAGGTGATTCGACGGTTGCCATTTTTTGTGTCAGAGCGATGTGCGATACATCGCATCGATTCGTTTCATAATTTCAGCTACTTGTCATTTTGTTCGAATTCCGAGATCGCACTTTTGTTGTCACGAGACTTAAGGATTCATTTACCAAATTTGACAAAGGAACGTAACGTATTAAAGGCAGAGTTTTTTCAGAGGAAGACTATCGCATTCGAGTGCCGTTTCGATATCAGTATAGAATGCGATATTTTTCCTCTAAGACAACCCTGCCTTTCTTTCGTCGAATTTCTTTGTCAAAGGTACATGAATTCTTTATTCTCATGTCAGCAGAAGTGCAATCTCAGAATTCGAAAAAAATGACAAGTAGCTGACATTATGGATCGAATTGATGCGATATATCGCACGTCGCTCTGTCACACAAAATAGCAACCGTCGAATCACCTTAAAAGCGACTATGCTGGGAGTGAAAAAATTGAAACATGGGATCAACTAGAGTCCCTGTATACTGAGAGTAAAGACATTGCGAATCCATTTCTGATTGGTTCCCGTATTTTAGGACTTCACAGTCTCACAAACGGGAATAAAAATTACAGTTTCACCAATAGCAAATATTATAAACTGGAATGGACCGGGACATTGAGGGTACGGCAAGGAACAAATGGAATGAGAGGCGGAGATAGGGATTCGGGAATTGATCAACAATTACAAAACACGTCCGATTTGTGTAATCTTTATTCCTGTTTGTGACATCATGAACCGCGTTGTCTTAACTCTCTCAATATAGGGGCTCAAGTATCAACAAGATACCAACTTGGTCGATTGACCAAAAAGGCATTAACAAGGTACTAACATGAAACAATGCTGATACTAAGTTAGTATCATGATACCATGTTGAGGGTCAGTTACACGATCAAATTGAGCCATCAAACCGGAGCTCTGATTGGTGGAAAAATACCTGAGGTTAGGATGCGACCAATGAGAGGCCCAATTTGATGGCTCAATTTGATCGTGTAACTGGACCTTTGGCGTGCACGTGGTATTCTGCCGTACTAAGGAAGAACGCCGTGTGAGCCTTCTGACGCTGCCAAATTTCTTCTGATAAAATACGAAGTTTCAAGAAAACTTGTGGTGATTTTTCTTCCAATTGTTCGAAGAATTTACTTCGAAATTGAATCTACGATCTGAAAATTTCAAGGAAAAAGATTCAAAAATTTCCTCAAAAATAAATGTTGTATGAGGGGAATTTCGGCAACATTAGGATGTTTATACGGCGTTTTTCTCAGCAGACGCACATAAAACAGTCGAAACAGTTAGATTTTCAGTCGTTGCGCAATTATTTCCTGCATACTCTACGGATTTAGATCGAGCGAGACCAAAATAAAATCGCCATAGTAATTCATTAAGGCGAGAGGCACGTTTGATGATCCATTAATCATGCTCATAAGAATTAGAACATATATTAACCATCATGCAAAATTTTATTCTAATACAACGTTTTCAATCATGATTTTTTGATAATGACTAGTTGGCAAATGCAAAATTGTGGTCACGCTACCTCTTGTGCCGAGTTGATACCGCAATCCTCCCGATCTTGAATGTAAACAACTCGACACGTTTGTTTCATTCGTGATGAGTGCTTGCCAACTGTTCCAAAAATACGCCCAAACGTGGGAATCGCGTGTTGTTACCCTATGTTTGAGAAGTTACATTTAAAGACAAAGCTATGAGCAATTAAATTGTGTGATGACTTGTTGGAGGTTGAAGATGGTTCCAAATATACTCGATATTATTACGGAAGCACGAGTCCAATCTCGAGAATTACACTACACGCAGTCTAGTGATTTTGCCCCCCAAAATGACATAGAACTTACTCCTGAAAGCTGTGTATGGACGTATTTCTGCCAAACGGAACTATTTGCATTGAGACATGAGCTTTGAGACCCATAAAAATATATGCATAACAGGGCTCACGTCTCAATGCAGATAGTTCCGTTGGGCAGAAATACGTCCATCTAGTGAAAAATCTGTTCAAAAAAAGCCCTATTGCCCTTCTCCACCACATATGTACCGCGTTTATCAGAGAGGACTCAAGCCCCGTCAGCTATTGCCAAATTTAATTAGGCAATTTAATTTTTTACATAAAAACGGTTGTGCGGATTTTCGTGCAAATTTCAGCGGATTTTCTCCATAGTACGAAGCAAATTCCTTAATATTTTCAAAGGAATCCACACACACGTTCTCTCGTAAAATATTGAACTGCCCAGTTTTTGGCAATAGCTGATGTGGTTTGGTTTCTTCCTGTTCAACGCGGTCCATACGATGCTTCCCAATTAGATCAGCGTATCGACTGCTGAACTCTCAGACCATTTTTTTTCATTTATTTATTAAATAAAAATGTACCACTGCCCCTTACGGTGCATTAATTACATAGGTGTTAAGTTTAAACTTAGAGCTAATCTACAAACTAAGTTTGTCAAACCATGTATCTCGGTTTGCGCCGTTGCAGACTTCCTTTCATAATTAATTATTTAAATGGAGAACTACTCAACATAAATTTTTGAAAACTTCGTGATTTTTCCTCTTTGTGCAAAGCAAAGTCTGAAAAACGTCAAGGAATGATGTTAACGTGTTCTCGTTTGAAGAAATAAAATAGGAGCTGAGATTTTTGAACACCGCAAACAAGATTTATGGTTTAAAAGTTTCACCATCAATATCCTGATCAGCTTCATCACCGCTGAATTTTTAAAAATTGCTTTTGATATGGACGTATTTCTATCAAACGGAACTATGCGCATTAAGACATGTGTCCTGAGACCCATAAGAATACACGCATAACAGGGCTCACGTCATAATGCACAAAGTTCCGTTTGGCAGAAATACGTCCATATGAAGGCTGAAAGTTATCTTCATTTTTTCATGTAACTTGAAATATGTAAATAATTTTTTTGGGATAGTTTTCACGTATTGCAATAGATCTCTTTCATTAAAATGTTACTCGCATGTTTTTTTGTTTGTTCCACAGTACACTTTGGACCATCTGCGTACCCAATTATGCCTTTGCAGCGTCGGAAATATATTAAAGCACCTAATATTCGTTCCACAAACCAATTTTTACAATCTCTATGAATTCATGAATATGATCTCCTTCTACGCCGAGCAAGAACGTTCGGGCTCAAAGGAATTTTCTAGAGGCATAGGTTCAAATGTTGAGACTTTATCTTACATATTTCCGTGCAATCAGGCCTACAGAAATCAGCCGATGGAACTCTACGGAACCGGAGGTGAGAATGAATTTTTATTTGATCATTATTTGGACAAATTTTGTGAAAATATTAATTTAACATTTTAATTTTTTTAAACATATTGTTTGTATTGGGTAGGAGGGCAATCGCTATGTTAAATGGAGTCCTTTGGGATCAAAGGATCTCCAAAGAGAACAAAAGAAGGATCTACAACGCGATTGTCAAGAGCATAGTAACCTACAGGTGTGAAGTATGGCCGATGAAACAGCGGACCCGGGAGGTTTTAGAGGCAACGGAGATGGACTTCTGGCGTAGATCCGCTGGTATTTCCAGAAAGGATCGCGTCAGGAATGAGACGGTACGGGAAATCATGGATGCCAAGCAGACCATCGTGCATGACATTATGACGAAACAACTCATCTGGTATGGTCATGTCCAGAGAATGGCAGGAGACAGGTTGCCGAAGAAGGTCCTTGACTGGGTTCTTCCTGGGAGAAGACGCAGAGGGCGCCCAATGAAAGGTTGGAGGGAAGGGATTGAAGCGGAAATGTTAAGGTGCTCAATCCCCTAAGATTTGTGGTTTGAAAGAGAGCAGTGGAGGTTAGGAGTCGTAGAGCGCGAGGGAGTGCTGTAAAGCGACTTATATGTATATGTATGTATGTATTGTTTGTCTAACTGTATTGAGAATTTAATTTTGATCGAAACAATCATTTTATAACAGCAGGATATACGGATTCTTTAAGTCGCTAGTTAATGATAATTGCAGATAAAACCTCTCATTGATTATTTGGACTGCATTTTGCAATTTGGAACTATAAATTCTTCTTCATACCAACGTATCTCCCATTAGTTTCCCTATGCACATAAGTCTTTTTCCGGAAGAGGTGGAATCTATAGTTCCAAATTGCAAAATGTAGTCCATTTTATCTTGACATTTTGATGCCACTATTCGAACGCATGAGTATCCGTTTTTGCCTATCATGGTATATGAAGGAAAATCAGTTAGCCTCACAATTCCATAGGATTATGAATCAGCAACTTCCGCACAGCCTTTTAGGATCTACTTACTCTCATCTCATCTTCCCATTCGCTCTAAAGGCGTTATCGCGTTACCAATAACGTACTTCTATATTTTTGTGAGCACCGTTAAATTTTAATACTTTTTTTCTGAGGACCACGTATATGCGGGTCTCTTGTAAAACTTTTAATCGCTGATTGCTACTTTCGCTTTTCTCTATACATTTCGTTTCTCTTGGAAAACATCTTCTAAAGTGTTTAATCACACAAAAATTAGGAAAACTAACGGTAGGAGTCAACGTTTATCAAAAGAAGCCTTAGGCACTGAAAAATTTGAAAGTGTATGATGCCACGAAGGATTGTGAACTGCAGACAAGTTGTCCCTGAGATAGCCTAAAATAATTTCTACGTTAATAAAGGTCATCTATGATGCAAGATTGGCAGGAAGTGTACTCTCATATCTTCGAGAATATAAATTAAAAGTATATTCATTCAATTTTTCTAAGAAAAAAAAAACATTTTCTTTACAAATAGTCGTTTACCTCTCAAAATCTTCACATATCTATGAGATCTTGAAAGATTTTCTTGATTTATTTATTTTCGTTAAATTTGGTTTTTAAACTGTTATTTTGACACAATTGTAGCCTTGGTTTGAGATATATGTGGAAACTTTTAAGATCTTGTAGAGGATACCAGCTTCAATATATCGATATCAATACTCAATACATGTATTAAACAACACGGACAAAAAAGCTGAAGAAACATCTCGAATGTTAAAAATCTGCGCGAATGTTGTTATGGAAACTCTGGCTGTTAAAGTAACATCCTAGCTACGTTAAATTAACAACCGTAGCGTTCATGTCAACATTCAAGAGTTGTCGCGCAGATTTTTAACATCCGGGATGCAGCAAATTTTTCAGAAAATTTTTTCCCCTAATGAATGAAGATGTTGCATGTGTGAGGGATTCGCAATTTGACTATTGATTCTTATGTAAAAGTTTGCGAGAAACACGATGATGCCACTGGTTTCCTCTGAAATCAACTCTCAAGCTCAAAAAAAGCTCTCAAGTTGAGGCCAAAATTGAGGGGACATCCCACGCTATCCTGAGAGTCCACGTCTACACCAAGACAAACTCTCCATGCAAAGATAGGGAGCAAATACGTTAGCAGTGATGCCGTGTTCTCAGTTTTAGAGTCCCCAAATAAAGAGGCAGCCCTGTCAATGTATTTGCTTCCTATCTTTGCATGGAGAGTTTATCGCTAGACGTAGAGGTGGACTCTCAGGATAGCGTGGGATATCCCCTCCATTTTGGCCTCAACTTGAGAGCTTTTTTTGAGCTTGGAAGTTGATCTCAGAGAAAACCAGTGACACCATCGTGTTTCTCGCGAACTTTTCATAAAAAGCAATGGTCAAATCGCAAATCCCTCACACCTGCAACTTCTCTGTTCCCGACCGTAGGTTCTCGCAAAAACTCGGTCTTAGTGTACGAATTTCATGATTGATTTCGCTGGTAATGAAAGCGGACTGTTTCTGACCTGCAGGAAAGTTACTGGCGACTTTGAAAAGACTCATGGGTAATTTGTGTTCTTTGCGTTGCCTGCAGTTGGTTGATCTCATGCTTGACTTCGGAGACGCCCTCCACTTACTCGACGAAGTTTGCTACTCACATTGTCTCACTCTCCGACGACTGACACTCATCAACGTCACCAGAAGTAAATGCTCACTCCTTCATATTGGCGTCTTTCTAAATTTGCAAGTAAGATATTCAACAATTTAAAATTTAGGGCAGATATTTACCCATTAACGTCACCCCTAAAATCTCTACAATACTTAAAAATGCCCTCACAACAATTTGATATGATAACCTGCGATCAAAATATAGAAAACTTTCTATAGGTTAAAATTTCTGAAACATCAGCCCGCGACAATGGTGACATCAAAAAAATAGGAGAAAAAACGGTAAACAGGGCTAAAAATTACGCATAAAAAACCCGAGACGTTTCGGCCCAAAACTGAACCATTTTCAGTCGGAAGAATAAAAATAAAATATAAAAATTACAAATAGAAACCCTGCGGACTACATGATGGCCGAGAAAATCAAAACAAAGAGGAGGATGCTTCTCTTGTTTCTCTTTGTTTTGATTTTCAGGTCTGCAGGTTTCTATTTAGAATTATTTATATTTTATTTCTATTCTTCCGACTGAAAATGGCTCAGGTTTTGGGCCGAAACGCCTCGGGCTTTTCGTCTTGTTTCCCGTTTTTCTCCTATGTTTTTTTTCTATGTAGCTCCTCTCAGCTCTTTTCCTGTCGCATGCTACGGACCGAGTCAACAGGAGAAGTGGGACAATATCTGGAAACTTTGAAAGCTTGTTTTTTCGAAAATATGAAACAAAGAAGTTTAAGATTGGTATTCCATTAGTTTTTTCGTGAAATTAACTTTCTGGAATACTCTTTAAAATTGAATTCATGACGAAATAAACATCATAATTTGAAATTTTAGCCAATAATTCCATATCCGACTTCTTCTATTGACTCGATCCACTGTGTGGTCTGTGTGTCGTTTCCTTTTTGTCCGCGGTCACATAAGCTCCTTCAATCGAAGAAGATACCAAACAAGGTACATTACTGAATTTTGCATTATTTCTCAATCTCAATGGATCATGAGTAGTTGCCTTCAATTTAATGAGATCAGTTCATATGTAATGTAGGAGGGATAGAGGCCTAGGAAAAGAAGATTATTGATTAATTTACATCAAGGTTTCTAAACTTTCTATTGTTATATTACCACAATAAAATTTAATTAAATTACAACCAAACATTTCTCTTTTAGCAGTCACTGAAGCTTTTAGACTAATGGTCTCTTTTCTTTTCTGTCTCAAGATTCTAGAGATAAGTCCTCAAAACTTAAGCGAAGATGGACTCTATTTGCTGAGTGAAATAGAAACACTTTCCCATCTTCATATCATTCAAAATAAGTACACCCCACAAGAACTGACAGCTGTCTCTTCGAAGGCTTGGAAGCAACTTAGTAAGAAGAGACCAGATTTGCAAGTGCATTTACAACTAGTATCGAATCTTGAAAAGGGTATCTTGTGGCAAGATGGTGCACCGGTTGCAAGTATTTGGTATGAGTCACCGAAAATCAAGGTAACGAAAAGAGTAATTTCATCAAATGTTTAAGGAGCAAAGTGCACACATAAGTTGATTAAATTAGTATACCATCTTGTACGATTACATTGAGTGCCTAACATAAATTTGCTCCTATTTTACCATTTTTACGAACTTAAAGCATTCCTTTTTTTTCCTTTTCTTTTTTTACACAATTTTTGAAAGAACATCTCTTAAAAGGGCTAAGAAAATCTTACCAAAATTTTAATTTAATCCGAAGGCCGGGAGGACTACATTCCTCGGCTCTAAATGATAGGCTAAGTTTAAAATTAGCCCCATCATACGTTTATTTTTAGTTAAATATCATTTAAGTTAATTTTCAACAATGCCAATAGATACGGAGGATCAGCTTGGTAGTTGTGACATAAAACTGTAATAAAGTATGCTTAGTAAAAAAATAAAAAAACCAATTTTTTTGCGAAACAATGGTCCGTCATCCTTTGAAAGATTACTGCGCAGGAAAATAACTGAAGTGTACCTCTGAAATTGAATTAAGGGGTTTTGTAATCTCACCGATCCATCTTTGTTTGCATAAATAATAGCCTACATTTTTTTTTAAAAAAAAAAAAATTTATTTGCAGGTTGACGGAGACTCAGTTTCCACGGCTGTCGAGATGTACGGACCGACGCTGAGGTTTTATGGCCACACGCATCCCCCAAAATATCACCAATCGAAATCATTCCGAGATAGAATGGATCCGTTCTTTGTATTCTTAGTGAACAAGTGTCCAAATCTCACCACATTAGTAAGTGCTACTTTCTATGAAGTTCAGAAATGCTGATATACAAAATTTACACATATCTGATCATAATCCTCCTCTGATACCGCCTACTATTGCATTCTTTTGAAAATCACGGAGAATCAGCGTATTTGCAATGTGCAAATTAAACCCATCAGCACAAACGCAAGCACGCAGTTTGAAAATAATTCTATTTGCATGAAGAATATTCCGCGATGGTCCTTGTGTTAAGAGAGAAATATTATAAAATTTAGTCTGATAAGAGCAGAAAGAGCACGGAAAGCCCTCATCCTTCAAGCAACATTACTTGAAAATAATGCAGTGAGTAGCAACTGCAGTAATTCAACTTTCTTTGCCTAAAGAATGTGTGTGTTGCATACGCAGAAAATGAAGGCACTGTAGACGACTTTGTGGCACTCGCAGAACAACACTATAACCGAAGGATGTGTTTGAGGCTGAGGTTTCTTCTTGTCGCTTGGAAGGCCGGAACTATTGATGTAATTATCTAGACCCTATTTTTATAGAATTCTGTTGTTAATTTTTTTTTTAAAAAAATGTGATGACTTTTAATATGGTTGTTTTAGAAATTTGGTTTGTATTGAATATTGTTGATCCCTCTCAAAAACCATTCCATTTTACAGACCCTGATTTTATTAAATCCTTTGTCAATTTTATCTCTAACACGTGATGACTTTTAATTTTTTTTTTTTTTTTAACTTTTACGTTTAACTTTTACGTTTTAATGAAGTTTTATTTTTTCTTTACTTTCTGAGACCATTCCGACCTGGTGGTTTTTCAAATTTTGACGGGAAACCCTACTCGAAAATCGCACCGATTCCTCGTTTCAGAAATAAATAAGACAAGGTTCCTCTTTTTTCTCTCATAAATACCACCCATTCTCTCTTAAATTATTTTCATTCTCTGTAACGTTGTAACTAATTCTTTTTAATCTCGGTTTCTTCCTTAGATAATTCGAGAGCGCATATCCACAGCGACAGTGCTGCTGCTGGCAAGTTACGGGAAGAAACTTAAACACTTGTACATTCGTCGAAACGCTGTGATACTCCGCAACGACTGGCCCAAGAACTCCGATTGGCCCGAGGGATTCAGCATTTGGTTGAAGAAATCGTGTCGTTCTTACGAAACAACGGAACAAGAAGTGTCTCAAATACTCGGCTTCCGGTGGCAGATGTTGTCCGACAAAGAGTTCAATAAGATCTCTCCCAGCCTGCACAACCTATAAAGAGGTTTACTGAGAAATAAAATTCGGTCATAATATCCGTAGTACCGCGTCCTACATCGACTGTAGTATCTGGTCCGTTGCAGTATTTGCGATTTATGCGACCGTAACCGTATGTCCCTGATCATTTTTTGAGAAAATTGGGGTTTTTTGGTGATGATTTCCATCTCCGGACGACTTTTTCGTCTCTCGGTGTGGCTCGAATCGAATAATTCTAATTTTGGAAATGTTGACAATTATTGGGCGTATTTCTGCCAAACGGTACTATGTGCATTAAGACATTTTTTTTTCTTTTTTTTTTTATTAAAATAAAAATGTACGACTGCCCCTTACGGGGCATTAATTACATTGAGGTTAACTGAATCTAATACTAATCTTAAAACTAATGTAATATGATTTTGTTATTAACTAATAAACCATACATACCACGACCTACGCTTTACAATTCGCATTAAGACATGAGCTTTGAGACCCATACGAATAAATATGCATGGCAGGGCTCACGTCATGGTGCACATAGTTCCGTTTGGCAGACATACGTCCATTTTATTATTTAATACTCTCGGAATGGGTCCGACAGAAATCAACCAGGTTTTTGGAGGAAGCAAGAGGTGTTCTGGGTGGAATGGGTCAGTTGCGCTGGTCACAGAATCGCGTTTTAATGCTTGATTCTTGTAGATCAGCTAGAAAGAATGAAGTCTGTCCAAACGGCAATTTTCTACGTTCAATATTAACCGAGAAATCGCGCTTTGAAAAATTCGGTTTATGACGTCATCAATGCACCGCAGTAGCGCCACTTGTGGTTTCTTCAGCCTTGCTTTGATCAATCAGGGTGACATACATTTGCACTGGTTACTCAACGAGGAACTCGCATGAAAGTCAGGTATAAGGAAGCAAAGGAATGACGTCAAAAACCCAACTTTTCAAAGGGTGATAACTCGGTTAATGTTAAATGTGAAAAGTTGCTGCTTGGAGAGATCTTATTATTTTAGCTGATCTTCAAAAAGCAAGCATCAAAATACGATTCTGTGACCAGCGCAACTGACCCATTATACTGGTCTCAGAATCGTGTTTTGATGCTTGCTTTTTGAAGATCAGCTAAAATAATAAGATCTGTGCAAACAGCAACTTTCCACGTTCAACATTAACCGAGTTATCACCCTTTGAAAAGTTGGGTTTAATACGTCATCCATGCACCGCGGTAGTGACACCCTTGGTTTCCTCCACCTTGCTTTTATCAATCAAGATGACATGCACTTGCACTGGTTACTCAACGTGAAACTCGCATGAAAGCAAGGTAGAGGAAAGCAATGGTGTCACTACCGTGAGGGATGACGTCAAAAACCCAACTTTTCAAAGGGCGTCAGCTCGGTTAATGTTGAACGTGGACAGTTGATTTTTGGACAAATCTTATTATTTTAGCTGATCTTCAAGAAGCAAGCATCAAAACTTGATTCCGAGATCAGTGCGACCAACCCATTATTCTTGAAAAATTGATTTTCATTTGAAAGCTTTCAATGTTAATCAACCACCTACAGCACATTATTTTTAAGCAACAAACTGAAGTTTGTCGCAAGGATATTTTTAGTGTTATGCAGACATTACATGGTTCCGCTCGGTAGTTGGTTTCTTTGCAGATTCACCGACGACTGAAATTGAAATCACAGAGAAGAAATAAATCTGCAGTTGTTTCAATTGCAGATTTATTGAAACGACTGAAACTGAATTCCAAGGAAAGAAACATGCCCATCGGTCGTGTTGAGAAACCTGCATACCACCTACCGGGCATACTTTTTAATTCTGAAAAAAAAAACTCTGTGTATTCCCGTCAAAGTCAATAGATCATTTCTTGAGAGTCAAAAGACTATGAACACTTACTTTAAAAGAGAAAAAGATCTGTGCAGTGTGTGCATGTCTAGACAACAAATGCTGGTCTTGCAAGTTGGCCAAACTGTTTTTTTGTCCATTTAAATCCACTGTAAATATCGATTCTGGGCGAGGCAGCTACAGCCTCTCTAAAAAAATGTTGAGTGTTTTAAACACACCTAAATAGAGGAAACACAATGTTTCCACATTGCGTAAGCCACCCCAGTGTTTGATGGTGAACACGTGCAAAATTTCCTTAGTTTCTCGCATAGACTTGGTGAAATGTTCTAAAATCCTTCTTAAATTTAAGACATAAATTTCACTTTGTTGAACCGAAGTTTAAAAGTGTTAACCGCAGGAAAGAGTAATAAAAGTTGTTGGTGCCTGTTTTCGTATGACTACTTTTTATTTATTATTCCTATGAGGGCATATTCTCACGTAGAGATCAACGAAGTGCTTTTTGATTTGGCTTATGTGAAGGTAGTACAGCTCAATGGTGTGGCGTGCTTTGCGTTATATCGATTAGTCTGTCATATAAGGCCTTGTCCACACGAACGCAGTTCGCGGAACTCAGTTCGAGGAACTTGTTCCCGGAACAAGTTTTTTGCAGAGCTGAAACTTATTCCTCCAAAACCTGGAATTTCCCCCGTGCTCCGAGCTTCTAAATATGTTTCTTTTGATTTGAATTTGCTTGTTTTTGTTTTTCACGTCCTTTACAAATGATCTTGACATTTATTTTTGTTACTTTGGCGGTCATAATAATCTATTATTTTGCAATAATTGTATAGTTTTATTGAAGTTCCGGCTCCAGTTCGGACGAACCCGTGTGGACAGCATGCCTCGTTTCAAGGAATAAGTTCCGGGAACTGAGCAAGTTCGAGGAATAAGTTCCGCGAACTGCGCTCGTGTGGACAAGGCCTAACATTATGGAAACGGATCGACGAACAGGGTGCGTTTGCAACGAATACCTAAATAATGGATTCTTTGCGATGATTTCAAATGTGGAAATATCGATAGTCGATCATTCACGCCTCGCCACTATAAAACTTGACCAATCAGCATCAGCATCTCTCAGATCGGATTTTTTCTAAAGATTGTGGTTGAACGAAAAGTGACCGAGGTATTGTTATGCATCACCTGGCCACCCGTGAGAATTTTTTCGGTTTCTTGCAGGGCTTTTTTTAAGGAGCTACTCTTAAGACTTATACAATGAATCCTCTCAGAAATAAAGTTTACTCTGTGGGATAGCAAAGTTTCCAAGTGTAACTGATAAAACAATTTAATTCATATGAAAAGTTTTCCGAGTCTATTTTTAAAATTAAATTTTTCTTCATTATTCTCCCCAAGACATGCCAATCGAGCTGTACTTTAAAAAGCTTGACAAATTTAGAGAATTATCCTCAGTATATACGTTCGCTATTTGTTTTAATTGTTTGCTCAGCAATTTTTATTTCGTTTTATTCCATTTTTCATTCAGGACAAAAAATGACTCTTACGCAAAATCTGAACGTCGGAAATATTTTTATTAGTTTTCGTCTCGAAATCAACTCAATTAGTTTATAAATATCGTTTGTTATCCCGAACCCTCTACTTTTTTGCAGTTACTCTTATTGATGAACATGCAAGAGATCTATCGCGTGCAAACCGCCATGTCATGTTCCATTCCGGGCAAAACTTATTTAACCCCGATCAGAAATTTATGCAGGTGGAGGAAAATATTATAATTTACTATACATGAATCAGTGTTCTGTGGTTAGTTTTTTATTTTTATTATTTTATTCAAAGGCTTAAACAGTTGTAGATAATTTTATTTTTCAAAAAAAAAAAAAAAGTTTTAATTACCGAACGTCAGCATCTTACAAGACGACAAGATAAACTATCTGAAACTCCCGAAAAAATGCCTACATCATGTCTGTCAAGAGAATTTTGAAAACCGTGCTCCAGTAAGCAGCATTGTAAGTGCGATTTCATCCGGATGCCGATCATTTTCTCAGTGTCCTCCATTTTTTTATTAAATCTCTTCACAATTTTTATTTCAAAATTCTAAAGAATCCAAACACTCTCTTCTCATTCGCTCGCTACGGCAACACGGCTGTGTTGCGTCTTTCAACTTTTTTTTTCTACCTTAACGACGAAAACTGCGAGAGATAATTGTAAAAAATAACCGTCTTGAATAATACCAGCAATCTGCAAAACGATAGAGATAGATTATCTAGAAAATTTTATTCGCCATTCTAGGTTTAACCAGAGATTATTTTATAAATGCAAGGGTTGTAGAATTAAGGTCGAAGGTGATAAGATTACGGCTAGAAACAATTTTCCACATTTCTCGAAAAACTAATTAAAAGTGTATTTCTAAGTTGAAATTTTGAAGGCGATAAGGTTCCCAACGGAAAAAAATTGACGCACGAGTGCGTCGTAGCTGCCTGATTTTAGGTCAAAAGATAAAACTACTTATCTTATCCTTGCTCGAGTTTAAAAATGCTGCCATAATATGTAAGAACATCAGTCTGCTACTAAGTTGCAAGTGACCTCTGGAAGTTCCTCGTTGCTGCTTTTGAAGTGACTACGTCATCCACTATGAAGCTCCCGGGCGTTCTCGTCTTATGTTTGGCTGTGGCCTTCGTCTTAATGCTGGCCCAGTACGAAACTCTCGCAGCCGCTAGGACACCGCAAGATGTAGACGTCGATGAGGTGCGTAAGATGGCGCAGGCACTTAAGGATGCGCAAACAGCGGCAGTCCAAGCAGTCCAAGGAGACGTCGATGAGGTGCGTAAGTTGGCGCAGGCACATTGGGATGCGGAAATAGCGGCAGTCCGAGCAACAGGAGCAATCCTTGATGTCATAGCACGAGAATCTCGCAGATCCTGAGACTCCTCGGACAGACTCCTCATGGTGCGAGGCTCAGATGCATAAAGTTTCGGATAAAATACAAGATTTTATTCACCGAAACGTTCATCGTTTATAGTATAAAGATATAAAGCCTCCCTGTCACTGAATTGAATCCTGATTGGGTATCAATTCACTTATCTTGTGCGTTTTCAAAATTAATTTTTATTTCAACTTTGGTTTTCCTCGATCAATGTTTCTCGAGCTTGTGGTGTAAGTGTTCCGAAATTAAGCTCTGGATTAAAATATTTTCTCAGTTTTATGTGTATTTCTTTATGATTTCTCTGATCTTCGTCGAATTAGGTTTGTTCAGTTTTTCCAGCCAAATTAACAAAACCACACAACTTACTCGACACGAAATAAAAGCACGAATTTATATGATAATCAGAAGTATAGACATGAGAAAAAACTACCATTCAAAAAAAAAAAAAAAAAAAAATCTAAAAGGCACGACTGACTGAAGGGCAGGAAGTGGGTCTACTTACCCTTTTATTTTGTTAATGTGTAAATCACTACTATATGCTTCTCAGATCCTCGCCGGGCTGAATTCTATTAGTTGAGAGTCAACAACTGCGGTCAGGTCATCACTTAATAAATAATTTTTTGTAAGTAATTGTCCTTTTCTTCGCAGCTGAAAATGAGTTTGTTACGGATCAAAATGTCCTGACCTTTAGTGCTACTAAATATTTCTATTGAATTAAAAAGTTTGATGATTTGTGATTCTGACATGAAATAACAAAAGTGTAGGGAGAGGTGAAAATTTACAGATTAAGATCTTTTGTGCGTTTCGCAAGTACTGCGCTGAAATAAATGTTGCTCGAGATATTAGCGTCGTTTCTTGTCCACAAAATTTGTTTTTTTTGAAACGTTGAATCCGTGCGGATTTAACTTAGAGGCAGTTTATTGAGTTGAAGAAATGTCGTTTTGCTATTGTTACGTCTAATCTTTGTCCTAAGCAAAAATCTTTGATTTGTATATTTTTTCAACATGGGTGTAGAAGTCGCGTGTTTGCCGTGATAGTTACATGAAAACCACGCAGGAATTTTATATGTGTTTACAAAACCGGTGGTAATATCGAGCATCTTTGCGATACTTGTGTAAAAACGTGTAATTTTTTAAAAAAAAGAAACGCTTAACAAATCTCGTACTTGCCGGTATATTCTGGTTATCATCGCGCAGTCACTCATGTTTTTACAGAACCTTTGAAAATAGCACCCGTTGCTCAATACTGAGATGAAAAGACCGTAATTTCTTTTGCTTTAACGAATCCCCTGGAGCGTGGATCATACCCGATAGTGGTTCGATGTATCTTTTCTCTCAAAACAATAGTATATAACCCCAAACACAAATTTTAGGAATAAAATTGGAGAATGAGAAATTTCACGAGAAATTGAATAGGGTAGCGCAGGGCAGCATTAAGCATAGGGCAAAAACGCTTAATTCATCCCCCCCCCTTTAAAAAACCGCTTGAAAAATATCGTACTTGCCGGTATATTCTGGTCATAATCGCGCAGTCACTCATGTTTTTAGAGAATTTTTGAAAGTAGCACATTTTCGCATAATTTCACACTTGATCACGAGCGGAAAACAATCGAGCAACTATTCAAACTCCAACGTAGGTACGTGCGGTATCACGCAAAATTGAAGGAAAATGTTATCTTTCTACCGGCCTCTCTGAAGTTTCTAATGTTAATAAATATTATGCTAGCATAGTCACAGGAATCGCGTATTTTCCTCCTTATTGATGCGAAAATTGTGTGGTCATTTGTGTCCTGAATCAACCACTGGATAATTTGCGTATGAGCCGCAATATTAGGTGGCACGGCTCTGTCGAAGGAAAGTTATATGAAAAGTGTCTGTATTTCTTTCATCCCTTGGGAATTCTCAAGTAGAATATAAACATATTCTTACCCTACTTAAAAATTCTGAAGAAATCAAAGAAATACAGTCACTCTCCTAAAACTTTCCTTCAACGGAGCCGTGTCACCCTATATCGCTGCACTTATGCAAAGTTTACAGCGGATGATTCAGAACACAAAAAACCACACAATTTTCACCTCATTATGCTGGAAAATACGCTTTTTGTACATCTATACGAGCCTAATATTCATAAACTTCAGAAGCTTCACGAAGGCGAAAAGGTAAGATTTTCATTCAATTAATCCGTGATACCACGTACCTACGTCGGAGTTCGAATAGTTGCTCGATTGATTTCCGCCTGTGAAAAATTGAGAAATTAGGCGAGCCACATCTCAATATCGCGAGAAATACGCGATATTTCTAGTGGATTTGTTATGCCAAAAGAAATTACGCGCTTTTCATCTCGGAAACGCGGGAAAGGTGTGGTTCTTCTACTAATTCTGTAAAGAAAATGAGAAATCAAGAGATAGTCACAGGAATGTCGCGGGAGAAACGCGATTTTTCCAGCGCTTTGGTAAAATCATTAAAAATTACGCTCCATACCGCGGCTCCTGCGCAAATTCTCCCGTGATTGATTAAAAAGCCAAAAGATGGCTTGGTTTTTTCCTATATAGAGCGATTCTGTACGCGATACGTACATTGATCCGAGCGTAACAGTCATAAACGTCAGTAACTCCACGAAGACGAACAGCCAAGAATTTCCTTCAATTTACCGTGATACCACATACCTACTCCGAAGTTCGAATAGTTGCTTGCTTCAGGTCTATCGGTTAAAAAGTGAAAAACAACGTTAACTTCATCATCCCAATATCGCGAGAAGTATACGCAATATTTCCCGCTGGTTCGCAGAATCCTTAGAAATTCTGCGCTTTCCGTCTCGGTATCGAGCATAATGCGCTGTTCATCCAGCAATTCTGTAAAGAAAAAAAAAATTAATGAGGAATTAAGCGCCAAGAAGTCAAAGCCATAACTGTGTGATATTTTGTTGTTTATTCGATTGTTCATGTTTGTTCAATAATTTAACTAATTTGATTGACGGATAACTGTGTTCAGTTATTATCTTAATGCCGCCTGTTAAGTACCTGGTTTTTACTAATTTATCTTACCGCGCAAACTTGTCGCAGGAACGTGAAAGCCCCGCCCCTTGGAGATGGTAACTTGGAAAAATCCCCCAAATTCCATCCCCGGGATTCGACCTGGGACAAGTCCCGTGAAAACATCCCGTGGTTGAAGGTCTTGCAAACAACCGAAGACTTATGTTTAACATTTTGCTTTTAAAACTTCATTTTTGTACTTTCGGCTGCCTCTGCTATTACAAATTTACGACCAGCACCAGTCCAAAATGTAGAGAATGGGGTATGGATGGATTCGATCGATATGAATCAACCGAAAAATAAACTCGTGAATCGATCGACGTGAACCGATTGACAAATATTCGATCGAAAAAGTATTAAAACACCGCTGTCTATTCGATCGACTTGAATCGATCGAAAAATTAAAGCGGGAACCGATCAAGGTGAATCGATCGACAAGTCCGTGAATCGATCGAATACTGTCCGGTGGCGTGGCGTGCTTTACGATGCATCGATTAATCCGTCATTTAAACCTATGGAAATGGATCGATTTACAGGGTGTTCGGAACGAGCACTCTAATAACTACAATCGATCATTTACCATAGATTCAAATGGGAAAATATCGATAAACGATCATTCATGCCTCGCCACTGTACTGCCGATTGTCGCTCAAATCGGTGTCGATATTGATCGATGCATGATTCTCGAATCACGTCGATCGGATCGACACCTGTTTATTAGTCACTAGCGAAATGCTCGTGACTGGAGTCACGGGTCTAGAGACCGCTAAAATATCTATAACCCCGAAAAAATGGTGGTTTACAGGGGAGCAAGAAATGCCAAAAACGATAAAATCGATAGAAAAATGAGTTGAGGGGAGATGGTGATGGAGCTAGAAAAATGAGCTGGGGGGGGAGGTAGAATATATATATTTTTTTTCTTTTATTTTCTTTTTTTTTATTATTGAGTGAAATAACAACAATCTACAGACACAGTATTTGTTTGGCTGGCAAAAAATTTGAACTAACCTAGCAATGATTTATTAAAAAAAAAGTAAAAAAAAGAAAAAAATAAATTGAAATTAAACATCAGCTGATAGCAAACAAAGGTTACCAAGGAAACCGAGGAATGGAACTTTCATAAAAACAGATCAGTGGAAAACAGCGTAAGTAGGGCACTTACGTTAATTACCGTTTAAAGGTAAACGGTAAGGGCGATTTAACCAAAAATCTATACAGTTCTTTATAAGACCAAAATGGACAAAATTACAAAATTTGAATAGGCTAGCGTAAATTTAACGATAGTTATCGTGAACGAAAGAATTGACGACATAGGTCGGGTAACTATTATAGGTGGGATGGGATGGGATGGGATGGGATGGGATAGTTATCGTGAACGAAAGAATTGACGACATAGGTCGGGTAACTATTATAGGTGGGATGGGATGGGATAGGTCGGGTAACTATTATAGGTGGGATGGGATGGGATGGGATTTGTCGATCGGTTCACGTCGATCGACTCACGTTTTTATTTTTCGATAGAGGGCTCATGTCGATCGAATCCATAGGAGAACAAATGGTAAACAGGGCTAAAAATTACGCATAAAAAATCCGAGAAGTTTCGGCCCAAAACCGAAACATTTTCAGTCGGAAGAATAAAAATAAAATATAAAAATTACAAATAGAAACCCTGCAGACTATATGACGGCCGAGAAAATCAAAACAAAGAGGAGGATGCTTCTCTTGTTTCTCTTTGTTTTGATTTTCAGGTCTGCAGGTTTCTACTTAGAATTTTTTATATTTTATTTCTATTCTTCCGACTGAAAATGGCTCATGTTTTGGGCCGAAACGCCTCGGGCTTTTCGCCTTGTTTCCCGTTTTTCTCCTATGTTTTTGAAAACTTTCTATGTACCTCCTCTCAGCTCTTTTCCTGTCGCATGCTACGGACCGAGTCAACAGGAGAAGTCGGACAATATCTGGAAACTTTGAGAGCTTTTATTTTCGAAAATATGAAACAAAGAAGTTTAAGATTGGTATTCCATTAGTTTTTTCGTGAAATTAACTTTCTGGAATACTCTTTAAAATTGAATTCATGACGAAATAAACATCATAATTTGAAATTTTAGCCAATAATTCCATATCCGACTTCTTCTATTGACTCGATCCACTGTGTGGTCTGTGTGTCGTTTCCTTTTTGTCCGCGGTCACATAAGCTCCTTCAATCGAAGAAGATACCAAACAAGGTACATTACTGAATTTTGCATTATTTCTCAATCTCAATGGATCATGAGTAGTTGCCTTCAATTTAATGAGATCAGTTCATATGTAATGTAGGAGGGATAGAGGCCTAGGAAAAGAAGATTATTGATTAATTTATATCAAGGTTTCTAAACTTTCTATTGTTATATTACCACAATAAAATTTAATTAAATTACAACCAAACATTTCTCTTTTAGCAGTCACTGAAGCTTTTAGACTAATGGTCTCTTTTCTTTTCTGTCTCAAGATTCTAGAGATAAGTCCTCAAAACTTAAGCGAAGATGGACTCTATTTGCTGAGTGAAATAGAAACACTTTCCCATCTTCATATCATTCAAAATAAGTACACCCCACAAGAACTGACAGCTGTCTCTTCGAAGGCTTGGAAGCAACTTAGTAAGAAGAGACCAGATTTGCAAGTGCATTTACAACTAGTATCGAATCTTGAAAAGGGTATCTTGTGGCAAGATGGTGCACCGGTTGCAAGTATTTGGTATGAGTCACCGAAAATCAAGGTAACGAAAAGAGTAATTTCATCAAATGTTTAAGGAGCAAAGTGCACACATAAGTTGATTAAATTAGTATACCATCTTGTACGATTACATTGAGTGCCTAACATAAATTTGCTCCTATTTTACCATTTTTACGAACTTAAAGCATTCCTTTTTTTTCCTTTTCTTTTTTTACACAATTTTTGAAAGAACATCTCTTAAAAGGGCTAAGAAAATCTTACCAAAATTTTAATTTAATCCGAAGGCCGGGAGGACTACATTCCTCGGCTCTAAATGATAGGCTAAGTTTAAAATTAGCCCCATCATACGTTTATTTTTAGTTAAATATCATTTAAGTTAATTTTCAACAATGCCAATAGATACGGAGGATCAGCTTGGTAGTTGTGACATAAAACTGTAATAAAGTATGCTTAGTAAAAAAATAAAAAAACCAATTTTTTTGCGAAACAATGGTCCGTCATCCTTTGAAAGATTACTGCGCAGGAAAATAACTGAAGTGTACCTCTGAAATTGAATTAAGGGGTTTTTTAATCTCACCGATCCATCTTTGTTTGCATAAATAATAGGCTACATTTTTTTTTAAAAAAAAAAAATTTATTTGCAGGTTGACGGAGACTCAGTTTCCACGGCTGTCGAGATGTACGGACCGACGCTGAGGTTTTATGGCCACACGCATCCCCCAAAATATCACCAATCGAAATCATTCCGAGATAGAATGGATCCGTTCTTTGTATTCTTAGTGAACAAGTGTCCAAATCTCACCACATTAGTAAGTGCTACTTTCTATGAAGTTCAGAAATGCTGATATACAAAATTTACACATATCTGATCATAATCCTCCTCTGATACCGCCTACTATTGCATTCTTTTGAAAATCACGGAGAATCAGCGTATTTGCAATGTGCAAATTAAACCCATCAGCACAAACGCAAGCACGCAGTTTGAAAATAATTCTATTTGCATGAAGAATATTCCGCGATGGTCCTTGTGTTAAGAGAGAAATATTATAAAATTTAGTCTGATAAGAGCAGAAAGAGCACGGAAAGCCCTCATCCTTCAAGCAACATTACTTGAAAATAATGCAGTGAGTAGCAACTGCAGTAATTCAACTTTCTTTGCCTAAAGAATGTGTGTGTTGCATACGCAGAAAATGAAGGCACTGTAGACGACTTTGTGGCACTCGCAGAACAACACTATAACCGAAGGATGTGTTTGAGGCTGAGGTTTCTTCTTGTCGCTTGGAAGGCCGGAACTATTGATGTAATTATCTAGACCCTATTTTTATAGAATTCTGTTGTTAATTTTTTTTTTAAAAAAATGTGATGACTTTTAATATGGTTGTTTTAGAAATTTGGTTTGTATTGAATATTGTTGATCCCTCTCAAAAACCATTCCATTTTACAGACCCTGATTTTATTAAATCCTTTGTCAATTTTATCTCTAACACGTGATGACTTTTAATTTTTTTTTTTTTTTTAACTTTTACGTTTTAATGAAGTTTTATTTTTTCTTTACTTTCTGAGACCATTCCGACCTGGTGGTTTTTCAAATTTTGACGGGAAACCCTACTCGAAAATCGCACCGATTCCTCGTTTCAGAAATAAATAAGACAAGATTCCTCTTTTTTCTCTCATAAATACCACCCATTCTCTCTTAAATTATTTTCATTCTCTGTAACGTTGTAACTACTTCTTTTTAATCTCGGTTTCTTCCTTAGATAATTCGATAGCGCATATCAACAGCGACAGTGCTGCTGCTGGCAAGATACGGGAAGAAACTTAAACACTTGTACATTCGTCGAAACGCTGTGATACTCCGCAACGACTGGCCCAAGAACTCCGATTGGCCCGAGGGATTCAGCATTTGGTTGAAGAAATCGTGTCGTTCTTACGAAACAACGCAACGGAACAAGAAGTGTCTCAAATACTCGGCTTCCGGTGGCAGATGTTGTCCGACAAAGAGTTCAATAAGATCTCTCCCAGCCTGCACAACCTGTAAAGAGGTTTACTGAGAAATAAAATTCGGTCATAATATCCGTAGTACCACGTCCTACATCGACTGTAGTATCTGGTTCGTTGCAGTATTTGCGATTTATGCGACCGTAACCGTATGTCCCTGATCATTTTTTGAGAAAATTGGGGTTTTTTGGTGATGATTTCCATCTCCGGACGACTTTCTCGTCTCTCGGTGTGGCTCGAATCGAATAATTCTAATTTTGGAAATGTTGACAATTATTGGGCGTATTTCTGCCAAACGGTACTATGTGCATTAAGACATGAGCTTTGAGACCCATACGAATAAATATGCATGGCAGGGCTCACGTCATGGTGCACATAGTTCCGTTTGGCAGACATACGTCCATTTTATTATTTAATACTCTCGGAATGGGTCCGACAGAAATCAACCAGGTTTTTGGAGGAAGCAAGAGGTGTTCTGGGTGGAATGGGTCAGTTGCGCTGGTCACAGAATCGCGTTTTAATGCTTGATTCTTGTAGATCAGCTAGAAAGAATGAAGTCTGTCCAAACGGCAATTTTCTACGTTCAATATTAACCGAGAAATCGCGCTTTGAAAAATTCGGTTTATGACGTCATCAATGCACCGCAGTAGCGCCACTTGTGGTTTCTTCAGCCTTGCTTTGATCAATCAGGGTGACATACATTTGCACTGGTTACTCAACGAGGAACTCGCATGAAAGTCAGGTATAAGGAAGCAAAGGAATGACGTCAAAAACCCAACTTTTCAAAGGGTGATAACTCGGTTAATGTTAAATGTGAAAAGTTGCTGCTTGGAGAGATCTTATTATTTTAGCTGATCTTCAAAAAGCAAGCATCAAAATACGATTCTGTGACCAGCGCAACTGACCCATTATACTGGTCTCAGAATCGTGTTTTGATGCTTGCTTTTTGAAGATCAGCTAAAATAATAAGATCTGTGCAAACAGCAACTTTCCACGTTCAACATTAACCGAGTTATCACCCTTTGAAAAGTTGGGTTTAATACGTCATCCATGCACCGCGGTAGTGACACCCTTGGTTTCCTCCACCTTGCTTTTATCAATCAAGATGACATGCACTTGCACTGGTTACTCAACGTGAAACTCGCATGAAAGCAAGGTAGAGGAAAGCAATGGTGTCACTACCGTGAGGGATGACGTCAAAAACCCAACTTTTCAAAGGGCGTCAGCTCGGTTAATGTTGAACGTGGACAGTTGATTTTTGGACAAATCTTATTATTTTAGCTGATCTTCAAGAAGCAAGCATCAAAACTTGATTCCGAGATCAGTGCGACCAACCCATTATTCTTGAAAAATTGATTTTCATTTGAAAGCTTTCAATGTTAATCAACCACCTACAGCACATTATTTTTAAGCAACAAACTGAAGTTTGTCGCAAGGATATTTTTAGTGTTATGCAGACATTACATGGTTCCGCTCGGTAGTTGGTTTCTTTGCAGATTCACCGACGACTGAAATTGAAATCACAGAGAAGAAATAAATCTGCAGTTGTTTCAATTGCAGATTTATTGAAACGACTGAAACTGAATTCCAAGGAAAGAAACATGCCCATCGGTCGTGTTGAGAAACCTGCATACCACCTACCGGGCATACTTTTTAATTCTGAAAAAAAAAACTCTGTGTATTCCCGTCAAAGTCAATAGATCATTTCTTGAGAGTCAAAAGACTATGAACACTTACTTTAAAAGAGAAAAAGATCTGTGCAGTGTGTGCATGTCTAGACAACAAATGCTGGTCTTGCAAGTTGGCCAAACTGTTTTTTTGTCCATTTAAATCCACTGTAAATATCGATTCTGGGCGAGGCAGCTACAGCCTCTCTAAAAAAATGTTGAGTGTTTTAAACACACCTAAATAGAGGAAACACAATGTTTCCACATTGCGTAAGCCACCCCAGTGTTTGATGGTGAACACGTGCAAAATTTCCTTAGTTTCTCGCATAGACTTGGTGAAATGTTCTAAAATCCTTCTTAAATTTAAGACATAAATTTCACTTTGTTGAACCGAAGTTTAAAAGTGTTAACCGCAGGAAAGAGTAATAAAAGTTGTTGGTGCCTGTTTTCGTATGACTACTTTTTATTTATTATTCCTATGAGGGCATATTCTCACGTAGAGATCAACGAAGTGCTTTTTGATTTGGCTTATGTGAAGGTAGTACAGCTCAATGGTGTGGCGTGCTTTGCGTTATATCGATTAGTCTGTCATATAACACTATGGAAACGGATCGACGAACAGGGTGCGTTTGCAACGAATACCTTAATAATGGATTCTTTGCGATGATTTCAAATGTGGAAATATCGATAGTCGATCATTCACGCCTCGCCACTATAAAACTTGACCAATCAGCATCAGCATCTCTCAGATCGGATTTTTTCTAAAGATTGTGGTTGAACGAAAAGTGACCGAGGTATTGTTATGCATCACCTGGCCACCCGTGAGAATTTTTTCGGTTTCTTGCAGGGCTTTTTTTAAGGAGCTACTCTTAAGACTTATACAATGAATCCTCTCAGAAATAAAGTTTACTATGTGGGATAGCAAAGTTTCCAAGTGTAACTGATAAAACAATTTAATTCATATGAAAAGTTTTCCGAGTCTATTTTTAAAATTAAATTTTTCTTCATTATTCTCCCCAAGACATGCCAATCGAGTTGTACTTTAAAAAGCTTGACAAATTTAGAGAATTATCCTCAGTATATACGTTCGCTATTTGTTTTAATTGTTTGCTCAGCAATTTTTATTTCGTTTTATTCCATTTTTCATTCAGGACAAAATATGACTCTTATACGCAAAATCTAAGCGTCGAAAATATTTTTTTTAGTTTTCGTCTTGAAATCAACTCAGTTGGTATAAATATCGTTTGTTATCCCGAACCCTCTACTTTTTTGCAGTTACTCTTATTGATGAACATGCAAGAGATCTATCGCGTGCAAACCGCCTTGTCATGTTCCATTCCGGGCAAATCTTATTTAACCCCGATCAGAAATTTATGCAGGTGGAGGAAAATATTATAATTTACTATACATGAATCAGTGTTCTGTGGTTAGTTTTTTATTTTTATTATTTTATTCAAAGGCTTAAACAGTTGTAGATAATTTTATTTTTCAAAAAAAAAAAAGTTTTAATTACCGAACGTCAGCATCTTACAAGACGCCAAGATAAACTATCTGAAACTCCCGAAAAAATGCCTACATCATGTCTGTCAAGAGAATTTTGAAAATCGTGCTCCAGTAAGCAGCATTGTAAGTGCGATTTCATCAGGATGCCGATCATTTTCTCAGTGTCCTCCATTTTTTTATTAAATCTCTTTACAATTTTTATTTCAAAATTCTAAAGAATCCAAACACTCTCTTCTCATTCGCTCGCTACGGCAACACGGCTGTGTTGCGTCTTTCAACTTTTTTTTCTACTTTAACGACGAAAACTGCGGGAGATAATTGTAAAAAATAACCGTCTTGCATCCCGCATCCTGCAAAACGATAGAGATAGCGTATCTAGAAAATTTTAATCGCCATTCTAGGTTTAATCAGAGATTATTTTATAAATGAAAGTGTCATAGAATTAAGGTCAAAGGTGATAAGATTACTGCTAGAAACCATTTTCCACAAAATTTCTCAAAAAACTAATTAAAATTGTATTTCTAAGTTGAAATTTTAAAGGCGATAAGGTTTCCAACGGAAAAAAATTGACGCACGAGTACGACAGCAGCCGCCTGATTTGAGTTTAATAGATAAAGCTTGTTATCACAACCATGGTCGAGTTTAAAAATACTGCCATAATATGTAAGAACATCAGTCTGCTACTAAGTTGCAAGTGATCTCTGAAAGTTCCTCGTTGCTGCAGTTGAAGTGAAGACTACGTCATCCGCTATGAAGCTACCGGGCATTCTCGTCTTGTATTTGGCTGTGGCTTTCATCTCCATGCTGGCCCAGTCCGCCCCGTACGAAACTCTCGCAGCCCATTGGTCACCAGCGCAAGATCTAGACTCCTTATATCGTCCGGCGGTTCCAAGCTTACACCTCAGCGGCGTCAAATGCGACAAGAAAGAAGGGAAAAAGCAGGATATGCATCTGGCTTGTATAAAATCCTATGTATAAAGATAAAAAGCCTCCCCGTGACTGAATTGATTCCTGATTTGGGATCAGTTCACTTATCTTATGCATTTTCAGAGTTAATTTTTACTTCAACTTTGGTATTCCTCGATCAATGTTTCTCGAATTTTTTGTGTAAGAGTTCCGAAATTAAATGTTGGATTAAAATATTTTCTCAGTTTCATATGGATCTTTGTGATTTCTCCAATCTTCGTCGAATCAGACTGGTTTAATTCTTCAGTCAAATTAACAAAAACACACAACTTAAATGGTACGAAAATAAAAGCACGAATTTAGATAATACTTAGAAGCATATAGGGATAATAGGAGGCTACCGTTTAAGAAAAAAATTAAAAGGCACGACTGAAGGGCAGGGAGTGGGTCTACTAACCCTTAATTTTGTTAGTGTGTAAGTCTTTACAATATGCTCCTCAGATACTCGGCGGGCTGAATTCTATTAGTTGAGGGTTAACAACTGCGGTCAGGTCATCACTAAATAAATAATTTTTTTTGACAGTAATTTTTTGCCCTTTTCTTCGCAGCTGAAAATGAATTTATTACTGATCAAAATGTCCTCACCTTTAGTGCTACTAAATATTTTTATTGAATTAAAAGTTTGATTGTGCGATTTTGACATGAAATATCAAAAGTGTAGGGAAAGGTGTAAGTGTACAGAATAAGATATTTTGCGCATTTTGCAAGTGTTGTACTGAAAAAAAATGTTGCTTGAGATATAAGCGCCGTTTCTTGACTACAAGATTTGGTTTCTTTTTTTAAAAAAATTTAATCCGTGCGGATTTAACTTAAGGTAGTTTTTTGAGCTAAAGAAACGTTGTTTTGCGATTGTTACGTTTACGTAAAAAAAAAGATAACAAAACAACGTTTTCTCGACTCAAAAGTACTGACTTTATGTTCAATCCGGACAGATTTAACTAAAAAAAACCAACTGCTGTTGTCAAGAAACGACACTATCATTAATATAAACTTCGAAGGATTCTGCCTTTTTCTATTTCACTCGAGGGGAAGTGTCCCCTCCCGGACTCTCTTCCCCACCCGGTGACTGACGCTGCGCTGTGCTGAACGGTTCAGCCTGAACCTTTCCCCTACGTCTGACCGCTCCCCACTCCTCTGTCAATCGAACCATATGCCACCGCTTACGTATTGTCGCTCGCCCACCCAGGTANGAAACGACACTATAAGTCATATAAATATTTAAAGGATAAACTTTTTCAGTGTGAATTTCCTGGAAAGGAAAATTGCCTAAAGTTTCTTTTCCAGATTTATCTATCCCCTATAGCAATGTTAATGCTATAGACCTCAGTACTCAGAACTTGAGAGAGGCAGAAAGATAACATTTTCCTTCAATTTATCGTGATACCACACATACCAACGTTGGAGTTCGAATAGTTGCTCGATTGAGACCCGCACGTGATCAAGAGAGAAATTATGCGAAAATGTGCTATTTTCAAGGATTTTGTAAAGACACGAGTGATCGCGCGATGATATCATAATATAGCGGCAAGTACAAGATTTTTCAAGCATATAAAACTGGTTCCTTTTTTCTGGATGCGATCCAATTGTTGCGCGGTTGTTGTCCGCTTTGACATGTGCTAAT